CCGATGAAATCCTCAGACACTCGCCCCGCCCCCTTACTGTGTATCGCTCACTGATTGGACGATGCAGCGCATGCACTGATCTGATGCTTCTTGACATGAGAGCAGTTTCCCAGCGGAGTGAAGAAAACACATGAAACTCACGGGACTCACTCCTCAGTTTATACTGTGTTTTGTTTCAATGAATGCATCATTCAGTTACAAATATGTGATATATCTGAACAACAAAGTGGACAAAAATCATTTTATTCATTTATTGGAAACATTTTCATGATCGCTTTTTTTGTTTATACATTTTAAGAATGGCGTTTATCTTTTTTGAGAATGAGTTCTTATTTTATTTAATGTATTTGGGTCTACAACAGATGATACAAATGTTTGTGTCAGTAAATGTGTACTAACAGAGGCGGGGGTGTGTGTGAAGAGCTGGCTGCTGTCAGACGATCAGCTGTGCAGCGTCATCACAAACGGACGTCGCTTCACGTGACGCTCCGGAGGAAAGGACGTCCCATTGCTCTTAAAACTCATTTCCCTGCTTCTCGTGGTTTCCTTGTGTCTCTCCATGCTTCCTGGTGGGAGGGACTAAACGCAGGGAAACGACGCAAGTGAGAGACGCAAGGATTCCATTTAATCGACATGAGATGCAGCCTAAGACTTTAGCACGGAGCACGAGTCAGTTCATTAATAGACCAACAAACAAAACATGGTACCAGGAGTAAATTATGAAGTAAAATAAAAACACATTAAGTGAGGAGTTGTGACAAGCGACATGGAATCATTAACCTGTTAAACCCCATCCCTGTTTTTCAGGTCTCAGGCTCGAAAATGACATTCCCAGAACAAATGACCATATCTTCCCTTCTAAAAGGGTTAAATTAATAATCTTTTTTCTCAAAGTAATGATAAACCTGTGAGTTAGATGTAGAAGTGTCAGAACAATATAGATGTTTTTTATTTTAAAGAAAATTCAGATTTTACATAGTAAAAAACTGTAAATTATAGTGTCCGTCCAAAAATTATTTTTTACTTATAGTGAAAACTACCCTTGGATGATGGGTTAGTAGACTAAAAGCTTTAGGAATCCAAAGTATAACATATAATAAGTACCCTGTATCAAGATTGATGCAAAACAAGTGACATTTGACCTTTTTAGAGAGATTTAGCAAAAACCACCCACCTCTGAGGTGATTAGGGTGAAAATAGGCGTTTTTGCCGTTTCTCTGGAACCCATGGGTCGATTTTGATGATTGACATCTCTTTTGAACCGTTTGAGCCAATATAATCGAAGGGTAATTTTCACATACACACCAACGTTACCATTGTGAAGTGGGGGCTACGCACATGCAGTTTGCCTGAAGCGAAACCTGTCTCACGCTCTGAAATCTGAAAACTTAAAAGCAGTTTTATTGCTTATGGATTATCAGAAATCATTTCAAAGGGACACAGACACATTGGATTAACCTATGGATTAACTTCAGCAGCGTTTTTATCGTTTTAATGCCATTGAAGACCACTTTTGATCAGACAACGACGAAGGTAATGCCGTGTTTGCTACCTAGCGCCATGTGTTGTGATGTCTGTTTTTGTTTATAAAGTCGCAAGTTCTTATCATGGAGTGATGATCTAGATACCTATCGATTCTGTGTCTTCTCACGATGCTATTCGATATGTTGGATGTGCAGTTACGATAAGTAATAAGGGTGTTATACCGTGTTTTCTGTGCAACCGCCGTTAGCATTTTTTCGCTCGTGGCTAATTCAGCGTTAGCGTTAGCGTTAGCTTTGTGTTTTTTTTTGCAAAAAAATATAATAATGATCAGTTAGCTGAGTTTCTTCCCATTACATGGATATAAAACATTCATAGTTTATTAAATATTAAGAAGCCCTCAGACGCTGATTCCTGCAGATGATGCGTTTTTCCGCCCGGGGGCGGGTCGATGGGGTTCAACAGGTTAAAGCCACCGGAGACGCTAAAACTTTCGGGAAATGTCGACAGCAACTGGCGGACCTTCAAGCAGCAGTTCCAGCTTTACATCACGGCCATGGGACTGGTAACTAAGCCGGATGCTAGGAAGGTAGCGCTACTGCTAACTATAGCAGGCCCACAGGCGATAGAAGTGTACACTACTTTTGTGTATGAAGAGCAGGCTGATAAAGACAAACTGGATAAAGTGCTGGAGAAATGTGATGCCCACTGCTCTCCCAGAAAGAACGAATCATATGAGAGATATGTATTCCGTTCACGTGTGCAGCAGCATGAGCCTTTTGATAGCTTTCTGACTGACCTGAAGCTAAAAGCACAGTCATGCAACTTTGCTACGCTGAGGGACTCCATGATACGGGACCAGATCGTTTTTGGCGTGGAGGATAAAAAGGTCAGAGAAAGGCTGCTAAGGGAAACGGAGGTGACATGTGAAGCAGCTATAACAATCTGCCATGCAAGTGAGCTGTCCCAAATGCACGTCAGGACTTTCAGCGAGATGGCGGGCGCGGCTAACGTGAGTGATGGCGCAGCAGTTGGTGCGGTCTCCAGCCAACACAAATGGCGCGCACAGACGCGGCCTACACAGCGGTCGGAAGAAGGGACATTCAGCTGTAAGCGCTGCGGCTCGAAGCACAAACCACGACAGTGTCCGGCATTTGGTAAGCAATGTTCTAATTGCCAGGGCAAGAACCATTTTGCTAAGCAGTGCTTCTCAAAAGGAAAAGAGAGGAAGAAAGGAAAGTCTGTAAACATAGTGGAAGACGATGATTTAAGTGAGACATTTTTTGTTGGCATGGTGAACTGTGAAACTGAGCAAAAAGAGGTTAATGCTATCAGAAAAGACAAATGGATAGCTCCACTGATGATTAACGGGACAATAATAACTGTGAAACTGGATGCTGGTGCAAAAGCAAACCTGATGAGCCTGTCTGACATCAAGGCAATGAAAGATAAGCCACAAATTAAAAAAAGAACACAGGCACTAAAATATTATAATGGACAGGAAATCAGCAGTTTGGGCGTGTGCATATTAAAGGTAACCTCAAAAGGTAAAGTGCACCACCTACTTTTCTCTGTTGTCGCTGATGGACTTGATTCACTGCTGAGTGATAAAGCATGTGAAGATTTGGAACTTGTCAAGAGAGTGTATTGCATCAACACAGCTGTGAGTACACCAAATGACTCTATTGATTGTATAGTACAGAGTTATGCAGATGTGTTTAAGGGTTTTGGTGTGTTGCCCTTCACATACAAAATCCAGCTCAAAGAAAATGCACAGCCAGTTGTGCATGCTGCAAGAGGAGTTCCAGCACCACTCAGAGATCGCTTAAAGAAAGAGCTCGACAGAATGACAATGCTCGGAGTGATAAAAAAGGTTGAGGAGCCAACAGACTGGGTTAACTCGATGGTCTGTGTAAAGAAGAAAAGTGGTGATTTAAGAGTGTGCATGGACCCAAAAGATCTTAATGAAAACATCAAGCGTGAACATTATCAGATACCCAAGCGTGAGGAAATCACAAGTGAAATGGCAGGTGCCAGCTTCTTCACAAAGCTTGATGCGTCTCAAGGCTTTTGGCAGCTGAAACTGGATGAACCAAATATTGCACCTTTAATACACCATTTGGCAGATATTGCTTCCTCAGACTGCCCTTTGGGATCATCTCAGCATCCGAAATATTTCACAGAGCGATGGAGCACATCATTGAGGGGCTGGATGGTGTTCGAGAAATTTGATGACATCATTGTGTGGAGCTCTACACTACAAGAACACAATGAGAGGCTGAAAAAAGTACTGGAGCGCATACACAAGTATGGACTCAAGCTTAAGAAGAGCAAATGCGAGTTTGGAGTTCAAGAAGTTGTCTTTCTCTGAGACAAGCTCTCTGCACAAGGTATACAAGCTGACCAAGAAAAGATCAGAGCCAGCATATGCCAAGGCCCACAGACAAGACAGGTGTACTTCGCATTATGGGGATGGTCAACTTCATAGGTACATTTATTCCAAACCTATCTGCAAAGACATCTTGCATCCGTGAGCTCCTGCACAAAGAAAATGAGTTTAAATGGACAGTCAAACATGAGCAAGAGTGGAAAACACTCAGAAAGACACTGACAACTGCACCTGTATTGACATTCTTTGACCCAACAAAGAAGATTAAAGTTTCAACAGATGCTTCAAAGGATGGAATAGGCGCAGTGCTCCTACAAGTTGAGGGCGAGCATTGGAAACCAGTGGCCTAAGCACAATGACACAGACTGAGTGCAGATATGCTCAAATAGAAAAAGAATGTCTGGGACTGGTTTATGGCTTGGAGAAGTTCCACAGCTACATGTATGGCCTACCTTCATTCACAGTAGAGACAGATCATCGTCCACTTGAATCCATCATTAAAAAGAATTTAAGTGAAATGACACCAAGGATACAGCGTCTCATGATGAAGATGCAGAGATATGACTTTGAGCGGATCTACACACCTGGAAAGCACCTGATACTTGCTGACGCTCTCTCACGAGCACCTACAGTGGATAATGTGAGTACAACTGAAGAGGATGTGAGAAGTCATGTGAACATGGTGTCTGCTGCTCTTCCTGTATCAGACACAAAGTCCAGACAGATAGCTGAAGAAACAGCAAAAGACACAGAGCTGCAGTGTGTCATTGCAAATATGCTAAATGGATGGCCTGTAGGTTCCTGTACGCTCTTCTACCACATCAGAGGTGAACTGAGTGTCGTTGATGGACTATTACTGAAACAACACAGGATTGTCATTCCACGCGCATTGAAACAGGAAGTACTACAAAGAATACATGAAGGTCATCTGGGTGTTGAAAAATGCAAAAGACGGGCGAGAGACAGTGTTTTCTGGCCTGGAATAAATACAGACATCGAGAGACTGATTGGTACGTGTGACACATGCCATAACAAATATTAACAAAAACCTTTAATAGAAAAGGCTCTGAGATGGAGCTTTAGAGTTATCCAGTCTATCACTGGGTCTGAGCTCAGGTGGAGTCTTTACCTTCCAGTGGCACCTGGTAAGACCAGACTACGTTTCCATCTTGGTCCTTGACCTTCAAATCCACTCTCTCTGTGCTCTTCGTCAGAGAAACTTGAAATGTCGGATGGTAGTTTGGTCCAAACCTGGATTCAAATGTTTTACTCTGAAAACCAGAAGCAGAAGTTAAAAGTTTATCTGTTTCTTTCCTGATTGTGGATCCACATGCAGATACATGTGTGTTAATGATCATTGTGTTTCTTTAGAGGAGCATCAGTGACTCACCTCAGGCTGAATGAAGAAGCCCTCAGGTTCACAGTGCAAACTGTAACTGTGATCAATAACCAGCTCACAGTGGGAGGAGATTGGGATGTTCACAGCACTTCCTTGTTTGACAGCAACCTTCAGAAACAGAACATTTTGATCACTTTAAACCACATTACAAACAACACATGTTGACAGACCTGCTCTACAGAGAGATAAGAATTACTATCAATGAAGAATAACATTATGAGGACATATTGTGAGTAAATGAATTAGAGTGTAGGATAACAAATGTTGGATGAAATTCCACACCTCCGACACTCGCGATTAATCTGGAAACCTTGACGCAATAGAAAAATGTATGCATTTTAAAAACATTACCAATTCCTGCGCAGATAATCACCATAAGTTGCATGGCAGTGAAAAGGCTAAAGAACACTGTGCTATATCAGCAGACAGTAACACATGCTGAGAGAGAATCATACAAAACAACAAACCAAAGATCATTCTGAAGATTTACAGTTCAGATCTTAATCTTCTCCCAGCACGAGAAGGTTTGAGAAGAGGAGCAGTGTGTGTGGAAACAGCTGTGGTTTAAAACCAGAGTTTAGTCTGATGGTGAGCACTTTACCTCCTCCTCAGAGACGTTGTTCTGCAGCAGATGTACATCCAGTATTTGCTCCTCTCTGACCAGGGGTCGAAGGAACAGCAGAATTTGACCCATTATCCGCTTCTTTAAAAGCCTTTTCAATGTATCGATGGTAAGGCCAAAGAGAGAGAGGTGAGGCACCTTCACCACCACGTGAGTGTGTGTGACCTCCAGCGGCTCCAAGATGCTCAGGCCTTCATCAGTGATGTGGACGACAGACAACAGGCCGTCCAGGAGCAGCGCTGTGGAGCAAAGAGCTGGTCATCTGTTGCTTTGCTGCTGAAACAGCTTCATCATATTCAATGTCTCACCACTTTAGTTCAGAGCTAATGTTCATCTAAAGTCATTCACTTTGGAGCCTCACTAGGATGCTCCAGTTTATATCCTCCACCTTTTATTCTAATGTTTCATTATTGATCTGCCCCCTGTGATCTTTCTGGATGTGAGCATTTGCTGTTATGCATAAACTTTATTCATTATTCTCTAATCTTCAAGACTGCTGAGATGTTTGTAATCTGCAGCCAGAACAGCTTGACTGAGTCCGCTCTCATGTCTGAGTGACCCCTCGATTCCACCGGGTCCGTCTGCGTCGCGCCACGGCTGTGCCGCGGTTTTGGTCCGGCCTCCTCCGGCGTCATACCCTACCAGACGCGTTTCAGAAGCATTTCAGAAGCGGAGCGTCTTGCCTGCCGGCTCGCAGTTTTTGTTGATTTGGGCATATTTCCTGGACAGGCTACTTTGTACAGACAAAGTTAATAATAACTGTATTATTCCAGTTATAAACGACATGAATCAAAGATGTGTTGCTGTATTTTAGTGGTAAAAAAATGCATTCATCATCATAATTATTCTATATATATAATTTACACAGTGCCTGTAAACCGGAGGAGAACGCTGGCATTTCTCCTCCTACTTGAAAGACTACGGAGGGATAGGGTCTGCAAAATTAGTTTGTGTGTGTATATATATATATGCTATATATACTCTGAACGTTCCACTTCCTGCCTGCCCGACCTTACGTTACGGCTGCGCCGCGTCAAAAATAGGATTCATCCAAATTTTAGAGGAGCCCTGCGCCGAGCCGCTTCTGAGCCGTAACGCTCCGCGTGTGGTGGAATAGCACCCATTGACTAGAGTGGCCGCGAGCACCGCGGCGCAGCCGTAATGCGCCCGTAACGCGCCGCAGACGGACCCGGTGGAATCTAGGGGTAACTCTCTAGATGTGTGAAGAGTTTAAAGCTTTCAGGACGTAGAAAGTCTAACTTATAAATGTTGTTGTCTGTTGTTTTGTTTTGTTCATGGTTCAGCCAGACTGACAATGTAAAGAGCAGAAAGAGCAACAGATGGATAACTAAGTAAGAATCATTCAAACTGCTAGCTTAGCATCACAACAGTAACAGAGAGTTAGCGTTGAGTTAGCACTGTTAGCAGCTGAGCATGCTGTGGACTGACCAATCAGTTTAAATCTCTTTAATATTACAGAGAGGAGACTGCAGAGGGCCCAAAGACAATCCAACTCAGTATTTAGAGCTGCATTGCATCGTCTGCTTCAATAATGATCAATGATGTCATGAAACACATCGACTAAATGGACGTTTTATAATTTCTTTCTTCTTCTTTTGGGGACACAACTATTTGAATGTAAAGGACAGATTTGGTGTCTGCATTATACTGTTGCTATCTTTGTTAAACTAGTTTAATAAAGCTGCTTCATAACCTTTGAACTCTAGTGGATGGTATAAGGTGCTACTCATTATATAAGTGTATATTTGTTAACACTAGATGTCTTTACCATCCTCTGTCTCACTGTGTGGCAGGTGGAGCTGGACGACGGCAGCTTCAACAGAACTCTTCACGTTGAACAGCGGCCCTGCTGCCTGCTTGTCAGCTGATTGGAGGAGGCTCTCCTCCCAAGGGACCGTCCTGTACAGAAGCTCTGCCTCCTGAGCCATGACGAACACCAGGCCAGTCGAAGCACACTGGAACTCACCTGGACCAGGACACCTGAACCTGTAGACACACGGGGGACAAGTTACTACAACAAGCCTTCACTGGCCTGTGTTCTGACTGACAGGTGTTCATCCAGCTGGATCTGACCTGGAGGAGGGTTTGTTGAAAGATCTGAAACACCAGGGGCCTCATTTATAAAGCCTTGCGTAGGATTGGCGTGGGAAGGTTGCTTACGTAGGACAAAGCAAATAAATAGGCACCGACACTTTCCGATTCATAAAAGACTGCGTACCGGCACAGGACTTGCGTACGGCACATCCTACGCCGGTTTCCCTTTATAAATCACAATCAACTCGAAATGCGGCGCAGCTTTTGCGGGCTTCACGTAACGCCCATATTTGCCTATAAATAGTCAAAGAAACGCCCCGTATTAATATTCATTTTGACTGACTGCATGAAGAAGATCGCAGGAAATGACGACAGAACAGCTAAAAAAGACATCTCACACCGTGTCAGATTTAGGTTATTTTGGGGAGGTGGAGATAAATCATATTGTTTGGTGGATGCAGTTTGAACCAGAGTAGCAGCATGGAGGTCGGATCGTCACTAAAATAAATAAATAAGTGGTCCGAAAAAAGTTAATGACAAAAAAAAGACACATAACCTTCCTCAGGCAGTGTGTTTGTCCCGGGGACAGGAGACCCCCCCCCTTGATGAGAAACTGTAAGGATCGGGGAATCCCTCCGGAGTGTAGTCATGACGACTGGATCTGAATTATCTTTGTTGTATTTGGTGGTTTGTGTTCCAGCTGTCGATCAGCAACTATATATCCATAATCCACCAGTTAAAGGAAATACAATGTGTTGTGTTATATTAGCTGTACAATTTACCACATATGGTGTTCTTATCCATACCTCCTGTGTTTTACGAGCGACTTATCAAGTCTTGGCAAACGGCATAAAACACGATTAAACGTGATAGTATATAAAACCATGCTCGTATCTACAACCTATAGAAATGCAAAACGGCGTCAGTTTAGACGTAATTCTGTCCTCCTGCTTACCGCATCATTTATGAGAAAACATTTCATAACATGAACACAACATATTCGAGGTGGTTTTAAATAGCATATCCGTATTTATTTATTTCTCCAAGTTATGTTTTTGTGAGCACTGAGGAGTCTCAAACAGGCGTTTGTTTAATCATTTTAAGATTGGCTTTAATCATTTGAAAATGAATTCTTCATATTTGATAAATGAGAGGTAACATTTTATATATGGTATTATTTCCACATATTTCTCTCCATTCTTTCTTCTGCCAACGGTGTCGCAGTTTCTCGTCTCTCCCGTTTTTGTGCTTAGTGCGTACGCATGGGTTAGAGTTTGCGTGGAGGACAGCACATTTTCCCGTCAAGTTAGTATTTCATAAATCGCAAACATTGCGTAGAAACTGGCGTACGCCATTTTTTGAGTGTATATCCCTTTATAAATGAGGCCCCAGATGATTACAGGAACATCACTGAAGATGTGTCCACATGCATCAGGATGTGTGTACACAACTTTTCATTAAATTAACAAAATGTCTAGTCCAGCAAGGATCTAGACTGGTACAAGAAAACAATCCTTCCTACACACAGAGGCATTATTTGATTTATGTCTGTTGGAAAGAGATGCAATACCTCAAGGTGAAAGACATGAAATCAAACACAAAAACATTTATATATATTTGTAATGTGTTTAAATAATGTTTGGTCATGTTATGGGATTACCTGTATGAAGACTCAGTTGTGTGTTCAGGTGAGAAGGATTCAGGAGGCTGGAACAAACAAAGTTAGTTATTTTAATATAAATCAAGTTAAGTTCTAGCTTCATGAAACCAAACCACAATTCCAGAACATATTCCGACCAATTTGAAAAATGCAAATGAGTCTGTATCGGCCTCTTTCTTCAAACAATCTTTTTTATGAGAATTTTAGGAAATTATTCATTATATAATTAAGCAATAGCTCACGACAGGCCGTGGTATATGCTCATTATATCACAGCTAAGGGGCGTGGTTCGGCCCGACGCGAAGCGGAGGGTCGACAACCCCCTTAGCTGTGATATAATGAGCATATATCACGGCCTGAAGTGAGCTATTGCTTTTATAAAACGGTTACCAAGTGTGGCAATATGAATGAAAAATACACACTCTAATTTAAATAGTTGTTATTATTAAATAATGATGTTCAAAATAAAATAGTCCGTCCGTTACCTTCTGCACAAAACATAGTGCGAGGTGGTTGCTATGCAACAACACTAACAACAGCTAGCGAACATATTAGACAGAGAGCGTTGATCCATTATTTGGCTATTTATTTACATTAATGTGTATGTTGCCGTTTATTGTGCACCCACTGAAAAACTGTCCAGCATCAGTAGCATGGCTTACGTGGTTACTTGTATAGGCTGAGGTTGTTCTAGGCTGTTGCTTGGCGTGGCGAGAATATTGCTCCACTTTCTCCGGTCCCCGAGATTCGGCTTCCAGTAGCTCTGGAGAGAGCTTTCGCACCTGTGGCCACTAACGGTCATCATTTCTCTGCTTTGTTTCAAGACCCGCATCAGAAAGCTTTTGAATGGTGATACTTTTCCAGTTGGTCGACCTGCTCTTCACGTAGCTCTACATGTCGTCGTTTAGGTGCTTTTTGTTCTGGAGATAGGCACTCCTCAATCCACTCCTCCATAGTAAGACACCACCCCCCCCCCCTCCCGGAGGTCGAAGTTAATCTTAAATGTTTTTGCGGACCTTTTTGATTACAGATTTGAAAACATCGTTGCTCGCTTTAAAAGTAGCACAATTCATTATGTCAAACCTTGGAAAGTATCTAAATATCCCTGCCCTAATGCCAAAGGAACTGCACACTGAATATGTTTTTGCCGTTTGATGTCTATGTCTGGACCGCTGCGTAAAAAGGAGGGTTTCTGCTCCGTTACTTCTCCGCTGCTTTCTTGTTCCAGTTTGAAAAGCAAACTGCAAGCAGTTTGCTTTTCAGCCCAACTGTATACTGTTTATCTCAGACGCGGAGGGATACTGAGTTGTTGTGAAAAGTAACTTACAATTCTACCCGTGGTATACGCTCAGTATACCACGGCTAAGAACCAATCAGATTGCTTGATTTTACTTGTCCGTTTTATAATGTAATTTTAACAAAGAAGTTATTATAATGGAAGATTTCAACAACTGGGAGGATAAATCTGCTAGAAGACTCTTAAACAGATAACCGATAACTTTGACCTTGTGCAACTGATCAATGGACCTACAAGAATCACCAGGACACAAATTGATCTCATTTTTTGTAACAAACCAGAGAGAATCTTTAAATATTTTAATATGTTAACTGCTCTCTCTGACCACAATATGATTTTAGTCGCCAGGAACCTAACAAAGAGGCGATGTAGCCCTTCATTCAGGAAAAATGATTCTTATGGTATTCCCAAAAACAAATATGAGACCTTTATAAATGCTGTTCAACATATTAAATGGGATGATCTTTTGCTGGGAATAGACCACGAAGAAGACAGTCAAATGTTCTCAAAAACATTAGAGAGGACTATCAGAGATTTCAATTGCAAATTCAAGCAAAAAAATAAGAAAAACACTGTCCCTTGGATAAATGAGGATATCTTAAAACTAATGAATGAACGTGATCTAGTCCTAAAACAAATCCATCAAAACTAAATCAAGCCATGACAGGCATCACTTTGCTATGCTGAGGAACAAAGTCATTAAGAAGTTACGGAAGGCTAAGGCAGACTTCTTCTAGATTATAATAGACAAGGCAGGGGGTAATTCTAAAATGATCTGGAAACAGTCATAACTATTCACTGGAAATAAATATAGGGAAAGAAAACAGCTTGAACTTAAAGACAATGGAAAGCTTATAAACAATCCAGCTGACGTAGCTGAAGTTTTAAACCACTACTTCATCGATTCTGTTGCAACCATTGCACAGTGTTTCTCACCTCAACACACTCTCACTCCCTAAGCGTCCAGGAGCGACGCTTGGTCAGGGTCCCGTGGCGTGCAGTTGGGACGCTCCGAGGCTCCTTCAGCTTCATAAACGGACGCAAAGAGCTTTCAACTGATTGCAATGTATTCCCATCGGCGGCGGTATTTGACGCTTAGGGAAGCACGGCATTCGTTTGTGTCGGAGGCTGTTAAAGGCAATGTGAGCGTCCACTCCCATTGGATAACGGAGAATTGTACACCCGGAAGTAAGTATTCCCCTTACTGTCGATTGATTTGACAGTGATATCTCCACTACTCATCAACTCAAAAACACCAGATTATCCTTGTTAATTAAACGACATTGATAGGTTTTAGTGTGCAATGCTTTTGTCACGTTTTCCCCTTCAATTCTGAGAAACAAGTCGTTTTCTATGAGTTTTGGATGGCCGAAGACATTACATTACCCACAATCCTTTGTAGCAACCATAGACTGTATACAAAAATAAAATAATACTTTATTCCGAGTGTGCTTGCTTTTCTCTTTGAAAGTCATCACATGACGGCATTGTAATACACGTTTCGGCTGCATTAAATATGACATATCTGCCGTAGTTAACTCTATTTATAGAGCCCTGATGAGAAGACTTCTGGACAAACAGGAACTGCCGCCAAAACTGAAAACTTGAAGTGGATCTTAAATATATCAGCAATTAAACAACATCTTACATTTCTTTTCACACAATACGTCTCCTTGCAGTATCAACACTAATTCGGCTGACTTTTATATTTGATCCAATTGGTAGATAGGCTGTATTTACACCATAACGGTGCACAGCTGATAGAAAGGGACACCTACTGGTTAAAGCACGTTATTGCATTTTATAATTTTATTATTTAAATATTTAAAATTATTTTATTTAAGCTCAGCAGCTGCAGTGCAAATTGCTCTTCATCCCTGACAGCGCTCAGCGGTTATGTAGGCTTGCATTTCTCAATAACAACAATTTTAATACATACATCGACATGTCTTTATGATGTCAGTCTTTATAAAGCCTTCATTATGAATTGTTTTTAAGTTGAAAGATAAACTCAGACAATAGTCGACAGGAATATCTCCTATTTCTCCGGTAAATACAAATGTACGAACTTGTTCATCCGATTTTCTTTTGACTCATTAAGGTTTCTAGATCAATTACGAGCGCTCTATTGTTTAACTTGACAGCCCTAACAATTATATTTTAATTCAGTGGTGAAATAAATATACTTCTCTCTGTTCAACTGCTCCTCTCTCACCTCTCTGTCTGTCTTCACTTCCTGTTTCACATCGGAGTCACCTGATGGAGAGAAGAGGTGACACAGAAAAATAATAATAATTAAACTTGAACAAAGAGAAACATTAGCAGCCAAAATGATTGAGAGAGCTTCAACAAAATGGAATTAAAATATATTGTTGTTGTTCTATCAAGACCTTTTAAGATCAGATTGAATGAACAATATCTTGATGAATGGAGGATATGGTTTCAGTACTCACAGGTCTTCTGGATCTTGGCTCTGATCGTCTCATCATCTCTGATCCTGTAGGGATGAACACAATCCAACAGTTTTAGATCCAGTTTAAAATAAGTGTTTGTTCTTTGAGTCAGCTTCAGAGTCCTGATCTCATGCTTTACATCCCATCATATCTTCTCTGCAAACGCTACGACTGACTGCCACAGCTCTCAGCTGCATTACAGGAAGTAACCAGTCATTAGAAACTAAAAACATGACAGGAAACAAAACAGAGAACCTTTTCCACTCTTCTGTAAAATCCTATATGTCTGTTAGAAAGTAGATTACTAACTAAATGTGGCTTTGCATTTTCAGATTACAATATATATTTGATGGAAGAATGAGAGAGCCTGCAGTCAGTGGGTAACATCACTGATCTGTTGTGATTCCCCAGTGAGAGAAACACCTCCCTGTGTTTCATACAATACTGCTGAACCAGCAGAGACCCCTTACTGACCTGAGGGTCTCCAGTCTGCAGTCTGGACTCTCCAGAAGATCTCTCAGCAGCTTCTCTCCTGAATCCTGCAGATCGTTGTAACTCAGGTCCAGATTTCTCAGATGGATGTTGGACTTCAGAGCTGAGGCCAGAGCAGAACAGCTGATCTCTGACAACCTGCAGCCCCACAGTCTGAATAAAGAAAACATGATGTAACTTTAGAAAACAATGTTCCTGTTTGAAATAACTCCAGGTTTAATAATCTGTTCAGAGATTAAGAAGTTTAGAAAGTGGAAACTCTAAACAGGTTAAAAACTGTGAGAAAGAGGAAAAGAGCTCTCATTAATATTAAAGACAACGTGCTGCTACTTCAGTTTAAAGTATTCAGTCAGTGTAAACATCATGTAGATCCAGGAACATGTTGGAAACAATTCAAGGTTTAATAATCATGCAGACCAACACAAACCACAGAAACTGATTCAACTCAAGATCACAACGTTTACAAAGATCACAAATCAGGATGAATTTGAAATGTGAAGAAAAACATGCAGAATATGTATTTTAGGAACAGTGGAGTCATCAAATCACAGCTTCTTCAGTGTAAACTATTCAGTCAGTAAAGCATCATGTAGCTTCAGGAACATGTTGGAAACAGAACAACTGGAAATACTTGTTTGATCATTTTAACAGAAATATTTTTTGTATTTCTGTATTTTTTTATAATTTATATTATAAAAGCAGGATGGAGAATATAAGATGTATTTCAGGTGTTTAAAGGTTCAGAGTGAATTATGCAGTGTAGGATTGTTCTTGTTAAGTTAATGTACAGATCATCAGTGCTCTGCCACAGACAGTGAACTACACTTGATATAGTTTGTTGTTGTTTAGTCTTTCTGAGGCTTGTACATGGTCACATGTTGTTGTTATTATGTACACATTAATGTAACATCTCTGCAGCAGAAACATCCTGACAGCTTAGTTTGTCTTAAAAAGAAAGATGTGTATAACATGAGTGCAGTGCAGGGCTGAGGCTTTACAAGCATTCTCACTGAAGCAGACCAGAAGCCTGTACTACGAAGCTGGTTCAACTTAACCTGGATATGTTTGAGTTAGCCGGTTGGCCCAATCCAAAACATACGCGCTCTCGCTAAACTGTACTACGACGCTGGTTATCAAGTGGATCGCTCAAGCCAGCCGTGTCCTATCTAGTTAGGTGCGCGTTCACATGAAAGGGGTGGTATCTGGAGCATTCGACCAATCTCAAACATGGAGAAGCGTACTGACAGCGCAGCGTCATACTTCCTGAATGAAAAGTGAACTTTAATATTAGTCAAATATGAAGAAGTTAAACTTTAAACATCCATGACTTAAACACTTTATCCAGGATCAAAGCCACATAGCTGCACCTGCAAGGTGAATACAGCTGGTAACAGAAAAAGTGTTTGAATGCGTACATTAACAGGTTTATGAAATCACTGCCCCGTCTAAGACACGATCTGACTTTAATTACATTTGACTCGAGTGTTTCGTCAACTTAATGTGTTGCTTAAAATAATACTTCTGCATACAGTATGTGACACTGTGAGTGTTGCACGGCCAGATACGGCTCAGCTGACTCAGATAAGGAAATATATGATACATTATGATGTGATATGATATGAATGATAATGGGACACATCGACGTCTGCACTCACAGTGCCGCGGACTGTACTTAATGTTACTCTGATCCGGTTACTTATGTTGTGGCAGATATTTAAGTAAGCTTTCTTAACGCTAATGTTATAATAGTCAGATTGCTCTGAAGATGGGAGGGGATATTCTATTAATGTTCACGTTCACACAGTCAGTTGATTTTTGCCGGCCCTCTTTCCTGCAACGGCAGTTTTTCTGTATTTCCTCTATCCTGTAATATGACTTGATAGCTTTAAACTCCGCACACGGAGCTCTGATTGGTCAGCAGGCAGTGCTTTCACTGAGTTGATCTCTTAGCCTGCAACCTAACCTCCTCCCGAGGAGGTTAGGTTTTCCCTGAAGTCAGCCGGCTAAGCGAAAATCCTGCTTCGTAGTACAGGCCTCTGGACACCAACAATATGAACAAAGGGCTGAGACTGTAGAGGGTTAAGATGCTCAGTGAGGATCAGAGTGATATCAGCCTGATGTCTGCAGCTCAGAGTCAACACAACTCTCACATATTCATCTCAGCACAGAAGTTAAAGATGGAGAACTGACCTGAGAGTCTCCAGTCTGCAGTCTGGACTCTCCAGAAGATCTCTCAGCAGCTTCACTCCTGAATCCTGCAGATCGTTGCAACTCAGGTCCAGATCTCTCAGATGGATGTTGGACTTCAGAGCTGAGGCCAGAGCAGAACAGCTGATCTCTGACAAACTGCACCACCTCAGACTGAATAAAGAACACATGATGTAACTTTAGAAAACAATGTTCCTGTTTGAAATAACTCCAGGTTTAATAATCTGTTCAGAGCTGAAGAAGTTTAGAAAGTGGAAACTCCAAACAGGTTAAAAACTGTGAGATACAGAAAGAGGAAAAGAGCTCTCATTAATATTAAAGACAACGTGCTGCTACTTCAGTTTAAAGTATTCAGTCAGTGTAAACATCATGTAGATCCAGGAACATGTTGGAAACAATTCAAGGTTTAATAATCATGCAGACCAACACAAACCACAGAAACTGATTCAACTCAAGATCACAACGTTTACAAAGAACACAAATCAGGATGAATTTGAAATGTGAAGAAAAACATGCAGAATATGTATTTTAGGAATAGTGGAGTCATCAAATCACAGCTTCTTCAGTGTAAACTATTCAGTCAGTAAAGCATCATGTAGCTTCAGGAACATGTTGGAAACAGCAACAACTGAAAATACTTGTTTGATCATTTTAACAGAAATATTTTTTGTATTTCTATATTTTTTTATAATTTATTTTCTAAAAGCAGGATGGAGAATATAAAATGTATTTCAGGTGTTTTAAGCAGGGTTCTTACACCTTTTCCAAAGTCAAATTCAAGCACTTTTCAAGCATTTTCAAGGTGCATTTTCAAGCTTTTCAAGCATCTTACAGCTGTTGTAAATTACATATTTATATACACATACTTATACTCAAATGATTATTTCCCTACCTCACATTAAATCAGATGTTCTTTATGCTATAAACAACCAAATGTGTGTTTCATAATAGCATTCTACATGAGGATGAACAATTAAAAATGTTAGAAAAGAAAACTAAGTTTAATATTTCAAAATGAGTGACCCATCTGTACGTAGACCTGGCTGAGCCAATATAAAACAATCAGCCAAATAACTTTTCAATATATTATTGATTACTATTTTTGAGGTACTTTTAGGTTGGCAGTAAACACAAGTCAGAGGTAAATGGTGTACTTTTACTCCACTACATGTATTTAATACCTTTAGTTACTTCACAGATGTGGATGAATGATGTGAAATATAATCAAGTGTTAAATCAGACTTTAGTTCCACCTGGAGTAAATTCACAAGCTACCCTGCAGTATACAAAGTCATTCAAACTAGCTGCACCTTTACCAGCTTTGAGAACACTTTCATGATCAATCATTATAAAACATATCATATACAATTATTAGGGATGCTCCGATCGCCAATTTTGGGGCCGATCGCCGGAATCAGTATCGGCCGATACCGATATCGCTCTCTTTCCCTCTCCCCCTCTCTCTCTCTCCTGACAGCCCGTCAGTATCTCCTGCAGCTCACTGATCCTGTAATGAGTGACCCGACAGTGAAGAATAAATATATGTATAACTAGTTTAGCTTGTTCCAGAGGTAGATAAAATAGCTAAGTGTGTTAGGTCTAACTCTTAATGTGTGTTCTGCTCCGCTCACCGGTCCGTCACAGCGGGTGGAGCTGCAGGATTTCTGCTTCACACACACGTTGCATACCGCTATTTTATTGTCATTTTCGGACACTTAAAATACTGCCAGACTAGTGAAGCCATTTTGGCGAGCTTGTTGTACCGCGCACAGAGAAAAGTGTCATGTATTTTACATGCAACGATAGCCTAATCTAAAATGCTCTACTACGGCGTACCTTTCGTGTGGTGTGTGGCTCGTCAGCGCAGACTCTCGCATCGTTATTGTTGCACACTTTGCAGGAGGCTACTCTTGGGCTTCGCTTGACCCTCGTCTTAGCCATGGCTTGTATTTGTCTTCTGCTAGCCAACGCTCGTTGAAACGGCAACCTCCTGGCATACTGTCATCTATCACTCTCATCAGAATGCCCAGGTCACACACGTAACAAAAACACTTGCCGGTCACGCGCATTGCGCGGGAAGGCCGGAGCGGAGCTGTTTTATGTAAAAGCGAAGCAATTAAGCGCGCTCAGACTTCTTTATTTTCTTTTAATCTAAAAAGCGAAGTAAAGCATTTACAATTTCAAGCACTTTATCCCAAATTCAAGCACCATTCCCAAAATTCAAGCACTTTTCAAACCTTGAAAACACCTCGTACAATTTCAAGCATTTTCAAGGATTTTCAGCACCCGTACGAATCCTGTTTAAGGTTCAGAGTGAATTATGCAGTGTAGGGTTTTTCTTGTTATTTTAATGTAAAGATCATCAGTGCTCTGCCACAGACAGTGAACTACACTTGTTATAGTTTGTTGTTGTTTAGTCTTTCTGAGGCTTGTACATGGTCACATGTTGTTGTTATTATGTACACATTAATGTAACATCTCTGCAGCAGAAACATCCTGACAGCTTAGTTTGTCTTAAAAAGAAAGATGTGTATAACATGAGTGCAGTGCAGGGCTGAGGCTTTACAAGCATTCTCACTGAAGCAGACCAGGACACCAACAATGTGAACAAAGGGCTGAGACTGTAGAGGGTTAAGATGCTCAGTGAGGATCAGAGTGATATCAGCCTGATGTCTGCAGCTCAGAGTCAACACAACTCTCACATATTCATCTCAGCACAGAAGTTAAAGATGGAGAACTGACCTGAGAGTCTCCAGTCTGCAGTCTGGACTCTCCAGAAGATCTCTCAGCAGCTTCACTCCTGAATCCTTCAGATCGTTCTGACTCAGGTCCAGATCTTTCAGATGGATGTTGGACTTCAGAGCTGAGGCCAGAGCAGAACAGCTGATCTCTGACAACCTGCAGTTACTCAGTCTGAATAAAGAAAACATGATGTAACTTTAGAAAACAATGTTCCTGTTTGAAATAACTCCAGGTTTAATAATCTGTTCAGAGCTGAAGAAGTTTAGAAAGTGGAAACTCCTAACAGGTTAAAAACTGTGAGATACAGAGAGAGGAAAAGAGCTCTCATTAATATTAAAGACAACGTGCTGCTACTTCAGTTTAAACTATTCAGTCAGTGTAAACATCATGTAGATCCAGGAACATGTTGGAAACAGAACAAACTGAAATCATTTCTTAGTGGTTGATAGTTTTAACAGAAATATAAAACAATTCTACTCATATATTCTCTTTATAATTTATTTTTAAAAGCAGGATGGAGAATATAAAATGTATTTCAGGTGTTTTAAAGGTTCAGAGTGAATTATGCAGTGTAGGGTTTTTCTTGTTATTTTAATGTAAAGATCATCATTGCTCTGCCACAGACAGTGAACTACACTTGATATACTTTGTTGTTGTTTAGCCTTTCAGAAACTATTGTCATGGTTACATGGTGTTATTATTATTTATACATTCATGTAACATCCCAGCAGCAGAAACATTTATTTTACATCATGGCGATCTGGAATGAAGAAACTGAAACTCAGTTGCCACGTAATTTGCTGCCACACTTCCTGCATGAGGTGGACAATAGCTTCTTCAAGTATTTAACGGACAGGACCCTGGAAAATGAAACCTCAACAGACAGTTCACTCATTTGTAACGATGTCATCATTTGCCTGTCAGTGTGATGATGTTGTATATTAATATCATCTTGGATTATAATTACTGATGCATGGAATATGGTAGCAGCAGTACTTCAAGGTTGCCAGCCACAATGCTTAAATAGTTTATTTCTGCTTCAGAGATCTGAAGTTTGTATATATCACGCAGTCTGTCTTCCGGTTGCCTCTTTTGAATGACGAATACACACTACCGCCGCCTGCTGGTAAGGAGAGTTATTGCCACTCACGCATGCGCAGTGCGTATGTGCTACTTGGCCGTCAGCTGAAGTCTTTGCGGTGTGTTCCAGTGCGACTTTTTGGCCAAGACGCAGGAGACGTGAGGCGACACAACAGTCGGGTCTGTCGGGACGTGTTCTTTGGTGTCAGTTTGGTGTGACCTTTACACTTCTGCAGCTCCCTCCTCACCTGGTTGGTTGTGAGGTGTCGTCAGCGGGTGGGGGGGGGGGGGGGGGAAGAAACAGGAGCTGGTGTGAGAGGTGTCTGTGAGCTCAGACCACTTCTTCACGGTGCGTGTGGGCACCGGCTGTCTGTAGACCAGAGGTTGATCCACAGGCAGGAGGTGAACCAGGTTGTGACCAGGGGCCTCATTTATAACGCCTTGCGTAGGATTGACGTGAGAAGGTTGCTTACGTAGTACAAAGCAAAAAAATAGGTACAGACATTTTCCGACATTTTCCGATTCACAAAACATTGCGTACCGGCGAGGGAAGTGCGTACGGCACTTCCTACGCCTGTTTCCCTTTATAAATCACAATCGACTCGTAACGCCATATTTGCCTATAAATAGTCAAAGAAACACCCATTCATTCATTCATTCATTCTGACTGACTGCATGAAGAAGATCGCAGGAAATGAGGACAGAACAGCTAAAAAAGACATCTCACACCGTGTCAGATTTAGGTTATTGTGGGGAGGTGGAGATAAATCATATTGTTTGGTGGATGCAGTTTGAACCAGAGTAGCAGCATGGAGGTCGGATCGTCACCAAAATAAATAAATAAGTGGTCCGAAAAAAGTTAATGACAAAACAAATACACATAGCCTTCCTCAGGCAGTGTGTTTGTCCCGGGGACAGGAGACACCCACTTGATGAGAAACTGTAAGAAATGATTGGGGAATCCCTCCGGAGTGTAGTCATGACGACTGGATCTGAATTATTTTGTTGTATTTGGTGGTTTGTGTTCCAGCTGTCGATCAGCAACTATATATCCATAATCCACCAGTTAAAGGAAATACAACTAATGTGTTGTGTTATATTAGCTGTACAATTTACCACATATGGTGTTCTTAGTTTCCATACCTCCTGTGTTTTACGAGCGACTTATCAAGTCTTGGCAAACGGCATAAAACACGATTAAACGTGATAGTATATAAAACCATGCTCGTATCTACAACCTATAGAAATGCAAAACGGCGTCAGTTTAGACGTAATTCTGTCCCCCTGCTTACCGCATCATTTATGAGAAAACATTTCATAACATGAACACAACATATTCGAGGTGGTTTTAAATAACATTTCCGTATTTATTTATTTCTCCAAGTTATGTTTTTGTGTGCACTGAGGAGTCTCAAACAGGCGTTTGTTTAATCATTTTAAGATTGGCTTTAATCAATGTTTGAAAATGAATTCTTCATATTTGATAAATGAGGTAACATTTTATTTATGGTATTATTTCCACATATTTCTCTCCATTCTTCCTTCTGCCAACGGTGTCGCAGTTTCTCGTCTCTCCCGTTGTTGTGCTTAGTGCGTACGCATGGGTTAGAGTTTGCGTTAGTTCAAGTTAGTATTTTATAAATCACAAACATTGCGTAGAAACTGGCGTACGCCATTTTTTGAGCGTATATCCCTTTATAAATGAGGCCCCTGATCTGCCCAGGGGAGGAAGGGGGGATGAGCTGTATGCATCCTTGGTGTTGGCGTACAGTAGGTCCAGTGGTTTATTGTCTCTGGTGGTGAAGGTAACATATTGTTTGAAAGTGGGCAGAGTTTTTGAGAGAGAGGCATGACTGAAGTTTCCAGAGATCAGGAGAAGAGCATTTGGGGGCTGTGTCTGCAGTCTGCTTAGTAGAGCTGATGACGTCACATGCCTCGCCAGCATCGGCAGAGGGGGGAAAACATGTGAGAGTTCTCGAGGTAAATAATGGGGCCTCATGCTAACGGCTAACAGCTCTACAGGTGCATCTCAATAAATTAGAATATCGTGGAAAAGTTCATTTATTTCATTAATTAAATTCAAAAAGTGAAACTCATATTATATGGATTCACTACACACAAAGTGAAATATTTCAAGGCTTTATTTGTTTTAATCTTGGTGATTACGGCTTACAGCTAATGAAAACCCCAAAATCAGTATCTCAGAAAATTAGAATATTGTGAAAAAGTTCAATATTGTAGACTCACGGTGTCACACTCTAATCAGCTAAGGTTTCCTGAGCCTTTAAATGGTCTCTCAATCTGGTTCAGTAGGCTTCACAATCATGGGGAAGACTGCTAACTTGAAAGTTGTCCAGAAGACAGTCATTGACACCCTCCACAAGGACGGTAAGCCTGCTAGAGAAGCTGGCTGTTCACAGAGTGCTGTATCCAAGCATATTCATAGAAAGTTGAGTGGAAGGAAAAAGTGTGGTAGGAAAAGGTGCACAAGCAACAGGGATAACCGCAGCCTTGAGAGGATTGTCAGCAAAGGCCATTCAAAAATGTGGGGGAGCTTCACAAGGAGTGGACTGAGGCTGGAGTCAGTGCATCAAGAGCCACCACGCACAGACCTATCCAGGACGTGGGCTACAACTGAGCCTTCCTCGTGTCAAGCCACTCCTGAACCTAAGGAGAAAAAGAGATGGTCTATTGCTCAGTGGTCCAAAGTCCTCTTTTCAGATGAAAGTACATTTTGCATTTCATTTGGAAATCAAGGTCCAGAGTCTGGAGGAAGAGTGGAGAGGCACACAATCCAAGTTGCTTGAAGTCCAGTGTGAAGTTTCCACAGTCAGTGAAGATTTGGGGAGCCATGTCATCTGCTGCTGTTGGTCCTCTGTGTTTTCTCAAGTCCAAAGTCAACGCAGCCGTCTACCAGGACGTTTTAGAGCACTTCATGCCTCCTTCTTCTGACGAGCTTTATGGAGATGCTGATTTCATTTTCCAGCAGGACTTGGCACCTGCCCACACTGCCAACAGTACTAAGACCTGGTTTAGTGACCATGGAATTACTGCGCTTGATTGGCCAGCAAACTGACCTGACCTGAACCCTACAGAGAATCTATGGGGTATTGTCAAGAGGAAGATGAGAGACACGAGAGCCAACAATGCAGACGAGCTGAAGGTCGCTATCAAAGCACCCTGGGCTTCCATCACACCTCAGCAGAGCCACAGGCTGATCGCCTCCATGCCACGCCGCATTGATGCAGTAATGCATGCAAAAGGAGGCCCAACCAAGTACTGAGTGCATACACATGAACATACTTTTCAGAATAGTGATGTGCCCTGGATCCATCTATCGTTCACAAACACAGCCAGCCCTCCTCCTTTCCCCTTACCGCTCTCTCTCGTCCTGTCCGCCTGCAGCAGATGAAAACCATCCAGTGTAGCATTAGTGTCCGGGGTTAGCTCCGTTAGCCACGTCTCAGTAAACACCAGGATACTACTCTCCGATACTCCCTCCGATGTCGGGTCAGCGCCACATCTTGTTAGGGAGAGATCTTACATTCCCCATGATGATGGATGTAAGGACAGGTCTGTATCGTCTCCTCCTGGCTCGCAGCTTTGCCCGAGCATGGTGTCCCCGTCTCCTTCTCCTCAGCTCGCGGGGAACAACGGGTCTATCGCCGGTTAGCATCGCCATGCTACGGAAGGCTAACCCCTAGTTTCCACCGGGTCCGTCTGCGTCGCGTTACGGCTGCGCCGCGGTTTTGGTCCGACCTCCTCTCGCGTCATAACCCACCGGGCGCGTTTCAGAAGCGGAGCGTCGTGCATGCAGGCTCGCAGTTTTGTTATTGATTTGGGCATCCTGGACATTTGTACTTCTACAAGAAAGTAAGTAGGCTACGTAGTTAAATGGTTCATTTTTGTGTCTGTTTAAATTGTGTTTATTGTTGTTATTTCCTATTTTGTTGTGTTGTAGACTACAGACACAGTTAATAATAACTGTAATATTCCAGTTATAAACGACATGAATCAAAGATGTGTTGCTGTATTTTAGTGATAAACAAATGCATTCATCATCATAACTATTCTATATATATAATTTACAGTGCCTGTAAACCGGAGGAGAACGCTGACATTTATTCTCCTACTTGAAAGACTACGGGGGGATGGGGGGAGGAGAAGGAGCCTGGCCCGGATGCTCTGACCGTTCCACTTCCTGCCTGCCCTACATTACGTTACGGCTGCGTCGCGTCAAAAATAGGACTCATCCTAATTTTAGAGGAGCCCTGCGCCGAGACGCTTCTGGGACGCTTCTGAGCCGTAACGCGCCGCGTGTGGTGGAATAGCACCCATTGACTAGAGTGGCCGCGATCTTTGCGAACGCCGCGGCGCAGCCGTAACGCGGCCGTAACGCGGCCGTAACGCGGCCGTAACGCGGCCGTAACGCGACGCAGACGGACCCGGTGGAAATTAGGGGTAACCCCTAGATTCCACCGGGTCCTTCATCTCCCTCACAGCTCATCAGTACTGACAGCATCTTCACTGACTCATGGAGTACAGAGTGAGTCTGTGGAAGCTCAAACACTCTCCGTCACACATTCACCTTCTCTGATCTTTGTTATTCTTAAAGTTTGGATTCCATTTCCATTGGAAATACAGAAAAAAATAAAACCATTAAAATATCTTCAGGCAAATTCTGAAAATGATAAATACAAACAGATCTATATGAACTGCAGTCAGTGAACTGACCTGAGAGTCTCCAGTCTGCAGTTTGGACTCTTTAGTCCAGAACACAGCAGCTCCACTCCTGAATCCTGCAGGTAGTTCTGACTCAGGTCCAGATCTCTCAGATGGGAGGAGTCAGACTTCAGAGCTGAGGCCACGACTTCACATTCAGTCTCTGAGAGTCCACAGTCAGAAAGTCTATAATAACACATATATTACAACAAGTGTTAGTTTAAAAACAGAGGAAACGTTTAATTAACTTACTGAATTTGATGGAACAACTTTTTACCTATCATGTCAATTTAATTTAATAACAGAGTTTTATATATTTATTGTCAGCCTGTCAGACATTATTTTAAACTCTTAAGCATTGTGGTAAAACAGATCTGATTTAATGTTGAAGAAACTGCAATGATATATTAATAACTGAATTCACTGATAACTGTAAATACTGCTGTATGGTGTGATCACATGCTGCTGTGAGAAAAAAGTCCTTCATTTGTTTGACATGTCGCCTCCATCACTCAAAGGAATATGAAGAGGAGAACACTTTAAAATGCCACATTATTATAAATAAATAGAGTAATTAGGATAATTTAATTTCCCTCTCAAAGTATTTAAAACATCAAACATTTTAAAGTGTTTATTTGAATAATGAAACTTCTGATCCACTTTAGTTTATAAAGTTAATCACATCTGGACTTACACAGCCTTCCTGCAGTTCCTCACAGCTGGAATCAGTCTCCGTTGTCCCTCATCTGATGTGTTGTACTTCCTCAGGTCCAACTCATCCAGAACCTCCTCTGACATCTGCAGCATGTAGGCCAGAGCAGAGCAGTGGATCACAGAGAGTTCCTTTGATCTGTTCCCTGACTTCAGGAACTCTGTGATCTCCTGATGTACTGAGTGGTCGTTCATCTCTGTCAGACAGTGGAAGATGTTGATGGTCCTCTTAGGAGAGATTTCATCACTGCTCATCTTCTTCAGGTTGTTGATGGATCTCTGGATGATATATGGTCTGTTGTCTGTGCGACCCAGCAGGCCTCTGAAGAGTCTCTGGATGAATGTTGGACGGTTGTCTGTGCGACCCAGCAGGCCTCCTAAGAGTCTCTGGTTGGACTCCAGAGAGAGGCCGTGGAGAAAGCGGACAAACAGGTCCAGGTGGCCATTTTCACTTCTGAGGGATTTCTCCATGGCTCCCTTCAGGAAGACATCCAGGGATGGGTAATCATGATCACTGTTATACCTGTTGCTATAGTCTCTCTTCAGGAAGTCCTTCAGTACCTCTGTGTCTCTGTTGGTGTAACAGTGGAACAAGTAGACTGCAGCCAGAAACTCCTGAATGCTCAGATGAACAAAGCAGTAGACTGTTTTCTCAAAGATCACACTCTCTCTTTTGAAGATCTCTGTACAAACTCCTGAGTGCACCAAGGCCTCGGTGACACCAAGACCACAGCGCTCCAGGTCTTCTTGGTAGAACATGATGTCTCCTTTCTCCAGATGTTCAAACGCCAGCCTCCCCAGCTTCAGAAGAAGCTCCCTGTCAGCCTCCGTCAGCTGCTGTGGACTTGTCTTGTTCTTGTTCTTGTTCTTCTTCTTCTTCTTCTTCAGCTGCTGTGGACTCGTCTCATGTCCCTCTTCATACTTCTGCTTCTTCCTCTTGGTCTGGACCAGCAGGAAGTGTGAGTACATGTCAGTGAGGGTCTGGGGCAGCTCTCCTCTCTGGTCTGTAGTCAACATGTGGTCCAGAACTGCAGCAGTGATCCAGCAGAAGACTGGGATCAGACACATGATGTGGAGGCTCCTGGAGCTCTTGATGTGAGAGATGATTCTGCTGGACAGGTCTTCATCACTCGATCTCCTCCTGAAGTACTCCTCCTTCTGGGCGTCAGTGAAGCCTCGTACTTCTGTTACCCTGTCCACACACTCAGGAGGGATCTGATTGGCCGCTGCAGGTCTGGAAGTTATCCAGACGAGAGCCGAGGGAAGCAGCTTCCCCCTGATGAGGTTTGTCAGCAGCACGTTGACTGAGGACTGCTGTGAGACATCAGACACAACCTCATTGTTTCTGAAGTCCAGAGAAAGTCTGCTTTCATCCAGGCCGTCAAAGATGAGCAGCACTTTACAGACAGCCAGCTGCTCTGCTGTGACCTTCTGTAAGGTTGGATGGAAAACATGGAGCAGCCTGAGAAGACTGTACTGCTCACCTTTGATCAGGTTCAGCTCCCTGAAGGAGAGCGGGATCACCAGACTGACATCTTGGTTTTCCAAACCCTCGGCCCAGTCCAGAGTGAACTTCTGCACTGAGAAGGTTTTTCCAACTCCAGCGACTCCGTTGGTCAGGACCGCTCTGATGAGAGTCTGTTGGTCAGGTGAGGCTTTAAAGATGTCCTGGCACTTGATTGGAGTGTCATGGAGGGGCTTCTTCTTGGAAGCTGTCTCCAGCTGCCTCACCTCATGTTGGGTATTAACCTCTTCACTCAGGTCTTGTGTGATGTAGAGCTCAGTGAAGATGCTGTTGAGGAGGGTTTCACTTTCATCAGTTCCTTCAGTCACACGTTCACATCCTTCAGTCACACGTTCACATCTCCTCCTCAGACTGAGCCTATGTTCATCTAAAACCTCCTCCAGACCACTATCTGCTGGAAGAGAAGGAAACATGAGAATAAGAACATTATTTGAGAATCTGATGATGAAAATAAAACAGATCAATAGAGTCAGGGTTTAAAATGTCATGATTTTTTATAAAACATCTTAATGTCTACACTTCACAACACAACACTAAACATACAAATGAAAAATCCTGGACATGAAGACTCCAGAAGGAACCACCAAATACTAGCTGGCAGATATTTTTACTATCTTATGTAAACGTTATATTAGTGCTGGGCTGATGTAGTAATGTCTGAGTAAGACAGAAAGCACTCTTTAGGGAAACACTGCTGTCCCACGTGAAATATTTGTGTACACACTTTTAAATCAAAGCCTTGAAAAAGAGATCAGATTATACAGTGTTTCTGTGGAAGAGTAGAGACCCAGCGCCCAGACAGCAGTAAAGAGGCTGCATGAGTTCGGCCTCTTACCTCGTACAGAGCTGCTCTGACTGGCTGTCTGCAGGCCAGCTCTGGTTCTGGATCTCTCTCCACACTGAGGACAGCAGGAGTCTCTTGATGGAGGTCGCTGCTCCCAGTATGAGGTGATGCACTGTCTGCAGAACCAGTGTCCACAGCTGGTAGAGACTGGATCCTTCAGGACGTCCTGACACAGAGCACAGCTGGACAGCTGCTCCTCCACAGGAACACGACTCTTCCTCTTCCCTCTGTGGAGAGGAACACATCCTTTATAGCACTTTACATTAGAGGAGCTGATTCTCACCAAAGGTACAACAAGGTGGAACATTCTAGTTTAATACGTTTTCACTTTAAAATGTTAGTTTTCTGAATGGAGATTGGTTTGATTAAAGCTAGGCTAACGTTGTAGCTGCTGCATTAACACTCAAAATAACTCCATCCAGTCATCAGAACAGCAGCTATTATATTGTTAGCACCACAGACAGTCTCTGGTTTATACAGGAACATGAATAACCCTGATTTCATACGAGGTGCTGTAGAGCTCTGGGTGCTGATGTTCCCTCTTCTGATTTATCTGAGCATGTCAGAGACCACAGGAGCAGGATCTCAACACTGACAGGTTTTTGTAACGGAGCGTCACAAACTTTACACTCAAGTTGTAACTTTTCAAGTCGTGTGAATACGAGGGGGATATGAATTTTACTTCTTTACTTCATTCGTGTTTCCAGGTACAAATGTGTGTCTGTGTATTGACTCTACATGTAATCTGTTATATCTGCTGATGCTAAACACAAACAGCTCACCAGGTTATTACTATTATTAATAAACATCTTAAAATACATCTCAAAAGATGCTGAGGTAGTCAACACTTTTTGTTAGAAGATGTAAATTGTTTCAAGTATTATTGTAATTTAAAAGACATGTCATAACACTGATACATTGATAATATAATAGCATATTGATACATTCTTAAATAATGTAAACTGTCCTCTTTGTGCTTGTTTACTTTACTGCATTTATTGGTGGGTTGTTATTACAATTCATTTGTGAAGTTTAACATGTTTGTATTTGATTTGCTTACAAAAAGTCCTACATGTGGAGAGAGACAATTATTTTACTAAAGTGGTACTTTGTTCTCTACTGCGTTCCTTTTTGTACTTTACTGAGAATCTTTACCTTCCCTCACACTCTAATCTACTTTATTCTACAGAGTTTCTGTACTCTACTTCCCTCATGTCATTATTAAAGAACAGTTTAGATGATCAGGTTATATAAAAACTGAATCCTCTTCAGGTCAGTTCACAGTAGAAACTCTTACTTTGTGTCTGACGGTCCAGGTTCATCTCTGAAGTCTGGAGGTTCCTCTTTAGACCGGTCCCTCTTCAGAGACAGCCAGCTGGAGAATGGAGACTTGTCCTCTTCCTCATCTGTTAAATCACTCATCTTCTCCCGTCTGAGAGATAAACCAGTAAAAAAAATACACACACACACACACACACACACACACACACACACACACACACACACACACACACACACACACACACACACACACACACACACACACACACACACACACACACACACACACACACGACACACACACACACACACACACCACACAGCACACACACACACACACACACACACATCACACACACACACACACACACACACACACACACACACACACACACACACACACACACACACACACACACACACACACACACACACACACACACACACACACACACACACACACACACACACACACACACACAATGATAAACTTGGTTTCAATACAACAAATCAGTCAGACAGGCTGCTCTCCATGTTGACTGCGCTGGGCTGTCACATGTTATGAAACTCTGATGGCTCAGAAACCAGGAAATGGATAAAAAGGTTCACAACATTTGAAGATGTCACTTTCGACTGCAGGAAATAAATACATTTGTATTTACAGATTATTTTCTGACATACAGTTCAACAGAGTAAATGATTAATGTGTTAAAAAGCAGACTCTGGAGTTAACACTCACCCTGTTTTCCTCCTGCTCTGTCAAAGTGTAAAATGGAGTCTGGCAGACTGACTTCCTTCTTTAACTTTAAACATCCCTCCCTGTCTGTAGCTCCTCCCTTTGTTTCATAACCAGCCTCATCACCTGGACAGGTACAAACAGGCATTATTTTCAGTTGCACTCACAGTAAGACGGTTACAAGAACAAGTATAAGAACGATAGAAATAGACATGCAGCTAAAAACAAGCAAGACAAAGTTATTGAAGAAAAAAAAATAATACCACAGAGTGAAACAAATCAATAAACATCCTGCATTCAAAACCTTACTTGTGAGTTTGTTTTGGGTACTTGGGTTTTAACTGTGCATGAAATTGTAGATTTGTAACTACTTTATATAGTGGTGGTTTGTTTATTCTGCAGCAATACAGATTCAATGATATATATATATATATATTAGGGCTGTCAGTCGATTAAAATATTTAATCGCGATTAATCGCATGATTGTCCATAGTTAATCGCGATTAATCGCAAATTAATCGCACATTTTTTATCTGTTCTAAATGTACCTTAGAGGGATATTTTTCAAGTTTTTAATACTCTTATCAACATATGAGTGGACAACTATGCTTTATATGTTTGTTTATTATCATTTGAACAATGACAAATATCCTCATGAATATTAAACACAACAACCTGGAACCTCTCTCATACAATACTGTGTGTGTGTGTGTGTGTGTGTGTGTGTGTGTGTGTGTGTGTGTGTGTGTGTGTGTGTGTGTGTGTGTGTGTGTGTGTGTGTGTGTGTGTGTGTGTGTGTGTGTGTGTGAATGTGGAGGATTGTTGGAGCTATGTGCAGCTCAAGGCATATATGCCTGTGTGTATGAGCTGTGTTGCGGCACTATCCGTGCTGAGTGTGCTGTCTGGCTACCTGCATAAAGTCAAGTGCTCGGCGCAGTTGTCGGCGAAATGTCGCTCCTCTGTTTTCATTGAAACAGCTCCTTATATCCGTTAGCTCAGCTAGCTAGCACCAGATGCTAACAACAACACGTAAGGTGTGCTTCGCTCGCGCCACACATACACACACCCTCCCGGTCCTCCCGATGGCCAGTCCGGGCCTGCCGGTGAGCGTGGAAGTGTGGTCTGCCACAAGCGGGCAGCAGGAGCGGGGCTGTCAGCATCAGCTTGTAGATGGTATTTAACTCGATGCGCTCTGAAACTACGGCGGCCGAGGACAAAAAATACACATGCGTTAATCGCGTTAAAATAATTAGTGGCGTTAATTTTTTTTTTGCGTTAACGCGTTATTAACGCGTTAACTTGACAGCCCTAATATATATATATATATATATAGCTTTGTCCTGTGAGAACCACGTATCTCTAAAAAGTCAACTTCTCATGAGTTTTTCAGATAAACAGCTCTGTTTTCAGCTTTGTGACAACGGTGCATTTTCAAGCTGATCCAAGAGGCTTCTTAAAGGCATATAGCTCAAGGAGGAAAACTGCCTTAACACATAAATAAATACATGATCCTAGTTCATCTGAAACATTTGGCATATCAAGCATATCAAATGTAACTCCAAACGAAAGCACATGCCAATATGTTACAGTAACTCTCACTGCCAGAAAGCCAGACAAATGTCCACAGAGTTAAAATACAAACGAACAAGTTAACCTAGAGACCCAAATAAATGTACCTTAAATTAGCTAGTGAACGTTAGCTATTAATTCAACAAGCTAGCTAGCTATCTAACACGCTCATGGATATATAAAGGATGAATAAGAGAACTGGATACTCCGTTCATTCCTGTGAGTTATTCAGTGGCGCTTGAAGCCCAAAGTGGAGCGAGTGTAGACTCTGAAAGTACCTGGATGTGGGCCCATAGAGCATGCGCAGTTGAGTTTCCCTTAAGCCCCGCCTCTTATCTCCCGCTCTGTGTGTGTGTGTGTGTGTGTGTGTGTGTGTGTGTGTGTGTGTGTGTGTGTGTGTGTGTGTGCGTGTGCGTGCGTGTGTGTGTGTGTGTGGTGTCACGTGGTTAACGCGGACCGGTTAAAACCGACGGAAAGCGGCCGGAGTTTCTGCACCGACTTGTGGGTAGAAGAGCAACCTGCAGCCCGCACACCTCTGCACACACAGCTCTGCACACACACTATCTCCCCGGTTATGTCCTCTCTCTGCGTGCTGCGGACCCGCCTGCCCGCCGCCATGCAGAGGCGCTTCAGCCTGGATGTCTCCGCTCCTCTGCTCCGGACGCAGGGCTACATCGACGGCCGCTGGGTCTCCGCAGCCTCGGTGTTCCCGGTGCTGGACCCGGCTACCGGGGAGGAGATCGCCCGGGTGTCGGACTGCGGCCCGGCCGAGGCCAAGCAGGCTGTGGACGCTGCCTACAGAGCCTTTCACTCCTGGAAGCTCCGCAGCGCCAAGGTACGGCACAGAAATGACATATTTTAAAATAAAATCTCGCTTAATTGCCAAAAGAACACATGCATATCATAACAGTTCACTCCTTTCTTAGTATTTAGACCCAATATTTAATTCGGCTCAAGTTTAATTTAACAGGTAGTACACAGTTTTAAGATACAAACCAGGTTTCTTTAAAGTAGAGACACTACATACTGATCATCAGCAGGAGAGGACTCTTTAAAGTAGAGACACCACATACTGATATACATGACTTTTTAAAGTAGGGATGCCAGAAACTGACCATGATCAAATTCGAAAATCGGACAGCCCTGGCGAATATTAATCGATTATTATTATTATTATTATTATTTACAATTATTAATACTATTACTATTATTAGCATTAGTCTATATTTTGGTTGAAACTAAGCCATAAAAATATATCTATAAATAAAATCGAATTTTAAAAATAATTTTCGATTATGGAGACTGTAACGACTATTCGAAAAATCGAATAATCCCTGGCATCCCTACTTTAAAATAGAGAGACTACATACTGATATACACCTGAACATCAGCAGGAGAGGACTCTTTAAAGTAGAGAGACTACATACTGATATACACCTGAACATCAGCAGGAGAGGACTCTTTAAAGTAGAGACACTACATACTGATATACACCTGAACATCAGCAGGAGAGGACTCTTTAAAGTAGAGACACTACATACTGATATACACCTGAACATCAGCAGGAGAGGACTCTTTAAAGTAGAGACACTACATACTGATATACACCTGAACATCAGCAGGAGAGGACTCTTTAAAGTAGAGACACGCCATACTGATATACACCTGAACATCAGCAGGAGAGGACTCTTTAAAGTAGAGACACTACATACTGATATTCACCTGAACATCAGCAGGAGAGGACTCTTTAAAGTAGAGACACTACATACTGATATACACCTTAACATCAGCAGGAGAGGACTCTTTAAAGTAGAGACACTACATACTGATATACACCTGAACATCAGCAGGAGAGGACTCTTTAAAGTAGAGACACTACATACTGATATACACCTGAACATCAGCAGGAGAGGACTCTTTAAAGTAGAGACACTACATACTGATATACACCTGAACATCAGCAGGAGAGGACTCTTTAAAGTAGAGACACTACATACTGATATACACCTGAACATCAGCAGGAGAGGACTCTTTAAAGTAGAGACACTACATACTGATATACACCTGAACATCAGCAGGAGAGGACTCTTTAAAGAAGAGACACTACATACTGATATACACCTGAACATCAGCAGGAGAGGACTCTTTAAAGTTGAGACATCTTCTTTTCTTTTTGTGGATTGGGTAGCAGACACTTTTTGTCCCCAAATGACCCGTTCAGTTTTCCTGCTCACTTTTTAATGTTTTCCACTCTGTGAAATATTAATCTGATTCTGTTTTAGCGAGCAGAAACCAGATGTAACCTCAAGAGGCTCAGTGTGGAAAGAGAATAACAATCTATAATCTATTACTGTTAATGCTTAACATCAATATAGAGTTCATAAAAAGCAAACAAGTGATAAAACACTTTATTTATTATTATTGTTATTATTATTATTATGTGATGGTGGACGAGGTCAGAGAGATAGTGAGGGTCCAGGTTGTTGAAGGCTTTGAAGAGTGATATTTATTTTAATCTGAAGCCAGTGGAGGTTGTGGAGGACCGGAGTGAAGTGGTCTCGGTGGAGGTGAGCAGACGGGAGGGGGTTTCTGGAGGTGTTGAAGTTTGTTTTCAATTCAAGGACTAAAACCACCAGACTAAGGCGCCGTTTACACGAGGAGAAAACTGCTTGTATCTGCATAGTTTCGCGTGCGTATAGCCCTATTATTTACACGAGGCCGATAGAAACTGACCCCACAAACGATAACGGGTCCCAAGGTGGATAGATTTGCAAACGAAACGCTCTGGGGGGTCAACCAAGTCCGTGTAATCACCTCTATACGAATATTTCCTGAAAAAATAGCGGAAAAAAAAAAAAATAGCACCTCTCCTGCTCACTGCTGTAGCAACTATCAAAAATAGCTGTGTTAATTAAACGCACAAGGGGTTCTTGAATGAAATAATATTATAAAAGGCAAACCAGAATAGTTAACGCCCAATATACTCCTTAAACAAAATAAACAGAGTCAGATTTCATGCATTGATCCATTATATTGACAAAGGAGGATCTCACCCGGTGTTTGTAGAGAATATCTCTCTTTCTGAGCGGGTCCTCTCCACGGAGACGTCGGTCGATGCAATATCCACAGATTCGGTTTCTTTCAGTTAACTTCCCCGTAGCATTTATCCATATGCTGAGGAAATGACTATATCCCGCTGAATACCAGCAATCGCCACACACACTTCCTCCTGTCAGTAGCTACTGCTAGTGCTACTGCTACTGACCATGCTACAGATATTAGTGCAAAATCTACAGCTCCTCTACCACAACCATCAGCAACAAGTGGACATGGAGAATTACATGAACTACATGTTGCTAAATACACGGCTGGGCATAAACAGAAGGGTAGCCATGGCAACATTGCGGCGGGGGCTGCTGGGGCTGCTCTTCTTCGCTGCTTTTGGTGTATTTTGGCGGAAGTTACAGCGCCACTTACAGTCCCGGCATATGTACTACAGCGTTTCCAGCGGCCTCGTTTGAACAGACACGTTAAATGAAACAAATGCATGTGAACGGAAGACTTTTTTGAATACGCATACTGTGCATAAACGCAAACGGTCCCGTGTGAGCGGGGCCTAAGGGACAGTTTCATCTAGCTTCAGTGTAGATATGGCAATGAAAAACTGAAGTCCCAGGCTCCTCCAACAGAGCAACATGGATATATATATATAGGACATAGAACAGATAAAATAGTGCAAGTAAATACAAATACAATGGAAATAGTGCTGGAAGAGTCTATATACCAGTGTTAATTTCGTCAACGAAAACTATGACGAAAAAATGTTCGTCAACGACCTTTTTTACATGACTAAGACGAGACGATGACGAGCTAAAAATAGATTCTTGATAACGAAAATTTGACGAAATGTATATTTAGTTTTCGTTGACGAGACGAGACGGGACTAAGGTGTTAATGGTGGACTATCGGACATTCAAAATGCAGGGTATTTCCCCCCAAGTGTCCGTCTTGTCTGTCAAAATGCATCTTACATTTCTAACTTGCAATATCATTATTTCCGCTCTCTTCACTCCAGAAGAGCGATCTCCCTCTCTCTGTGTGCGGGGGCGGGGCCTAACAGACACGCTGCAGCGGCAGAGATCTGCCGGGGACGGAGCGTTCAGAGAGTATAGAGACACTCTACAAGACTCGATGTGGACAAAGCTCGTTTGCCATGTTTTCGCGTTAGCGCGTTGACACGAGTAGAGTAGTCTGTCCAAACAGCCGGCCTAAAGACGTCATATTCAGTCGGAGAAATGCACAATTTTCGACTTCCTTAACTCGTAGCTCTGTTGCCCCAATTACGAGTAACGTTATCACATCAGGTGTGCAGAGGTGGGAGAAGTACTCAGATCTTGTAGCTAAGTAAAAAAATACCATAGTGTAGGAAGAGTTCCTCAAGTCAAAGTATGATCATCAAAATATATTTAAAGTAGCGACAGTAAAAGTAGTGATTGTGCAGATTGGTCCATTTCAGAATAATATATATGATATGTTTTATAATGATTGATCATTAAAGTGTTCTCAAAGCTGGTAAAGGTGCAGCTAGTTTGAATGACTTTGTATACTGCAGGGTAGCTTGTGAATTTACTAAAGTCTGAGTTAACACTTGATTATATTTCACATCATTCATCCACATCTGTAAAGTAACTAAAGGTATTAAATACATGTAGTGGAGTAGAAGTACACCATTTAACTATGAACTGTAGTGGAGTAGAAGTACACAGTAGCAAAACATTTAAATACTCCAGTAAAGTACAAGTACCTCAACATTTTACTCAAGTACAGTACAATATTTTAACATAATTATATATATTTCATTTATTTCACATTTAAATAAAGCAATTAATTCGGTTAACAATTTGTTAGTTTTTTCCTTTAAAAAATAACAAAAAGTAAATACAAGAATACCGTTAAAGTACCGGATCGATAAGCAGTATTGATAAGACTAGTAGTACCGTAGAAAACCTTAACGATACCCATCCCTAGATATTACACAAGTAATGTGTTAAGAGAGTGAAATGTTGCTTTACGAATTTCAACACTTGATGCTGTCACCTTGATTACAATGTCAGAAACCTGTATTTGCCTAACTGAATTGGTTTAAAGAGAGAAAACATTTTGACTAAAAGTTGACTAAAATGTAATTTTTCATCGACTAAAAGTAGACTAAAACGTTTTGAGTTTTCGTCGACTAAAACTAGACTAAAACTACGAAGGATAGAAATGACTAAAATGTGACTAAAACGAATAACCATTTTCGTCTAAAGACTAAGACTAAATCAAAAACAGCTGCCAAAATTAACACTGCTATATACAAGTAAATAGAATATGATATATAGATAACTAATTTGCAAAATGCAAACAGATGAATGTTTATGGATGTTCTTTAAAAAGTTCAGGTGTTTAGTGATTGTGCTGGGTGAACTGTAGAGGATGCTATTGCAGGAGTCGAGTCTGGAAGTGATGAGTTCATGGAGGAGGGTTTCAGCGGCAGTAAAGGAGAGGGAGGAGGAAGAGTGAGGAAGAGGAAGCGGGTGTTCTTGAGGTGGTGAAAAGCAGTTTTGGTGATGCGGTTGCAGGAGGGAGAAGGTGGGGTCAAAGAGGACACCTGGGTTGCAGATCTGGGAGGGGGAGGGGGGGGGGGTTTTGAGCCACCGATGGTGGGTGTTTCTCAATGTCGAGGACGCTTACTTGGTAGGACATGTCCTCCGGGTCAGGTCCTTCAGAGGCTAGGCAAGAATCCTTCCTGGCATTCGGAGAACGAAGAATGGAACAGGTTAGCAGGTGTGCGTCATATGAGAGGCCCCGCCTTAGATTTTCCACCACAGATTTTGGACCGTGCGCAAAGCATTGTGGGGATTTTAAGACCGCGGAGGATACAATGGTGCATCCTCGAAATTTCCCGCAAAGAAGAATTCAGTCCTCGGGAGAATTCCAAGGATCCTGGACATTGGAACAGTCCTTCGGCGGGATTCGATGACGTAGCATCCTTGAAATAATGGCTCTGGAGGAGCCTTCCTCGACATTGAGAAACACCCTGAGAGTGAGAATGACTGGGCAATGACTTCTGAGAAGACATATTTAACGAGTCGAGTCAAATAAACTTAATATGACTTTTTGTGCGCGAGAGAAACGCCATCTGGAGGGAACATGGGGATTTTAGCCTCTGCAGACCGTTTACATGCACTAAAACCAAGAGGACAGGAGAGGGGACACTCCAAAAGGAAAAACAGGTCCCCTTTAAGTAATTTAGCACTGAGGCTGCAACATGAGAGATTGCTTTGATGCGTATCATTATTACAAATGAACCCTGAATGACCTTGCTGTGCTGTGATTGGTTCTCCTGCAGGACAGGAGCGTGGTGCTCAGGAAGTGGTTCGATCTGCTGACGCTGCACAAAGAGGACCTCGCCAGACTCATCACCTTCGAATGTGTGAGTATAAATACTTATAATGATTTAATATCATGTAGGCCAGGGGTCGGCAACCTTTTTGATATGAAGTGCCATTTAAAAAAAAAAAAAAGAAAAAAAAAAAAAATGTATCAGCGTTAATTCAGCATATTTAACCCTTTTGTGTCCCTGTAAGAGAAATCATTATTTATTGTATTGTATTTTTTATTATCATACCTTTTACCTCCTTGTGTCTCTTAACCTGTTAAAATGGTTACCTTGGTTGCTGGTCCCTTTAACCGTGTACCTGTCAGCGTGAAGGAGACCTTTGACCAGATGTGTTGTGTCTTCAGGGAAAGCCCCTGCAGGAGTCCCGCGGGGAGATAGCGTACGCCGCCTCCTTCCTGGAGTGGTTTTCGGAGGAGGCTCGGCGAGTGTACGGAGACGTGGTCCCCTCCCCCTCTAGAGACCGGAAGATCCTCCTCCTCAAACAGCCCACCGGCGTGGCCTCCATCATCACGCCGGTGAGCAGCCACTTCAGCTTTAGTTTCTACAGTAGATAGAATCGGAGGGTGTGACTATCGCCACTCAATATCCCCTGGGATCGACTAAACTGGGTTAACTAATGGACGCGTGCCATCTCCATGTACGACGAAGTTTAGCTTTCAATATCTTTTAGTTACAAAGAAAAACAGTGTGTTCACAGACACGGTCAAAAAACTATTGCTCTCCCAGTCACAATCACACACACCTGTGGCAGGAGACCAGTTATGGCGCGTTTCCACTACAGCCCGCAGCCCGGTTTAAGAGGGCTGTGACGTCAGCGGCCCGTCTTTGGTTGCGTTTCCACTTGGCCTAGTACCGGCCGGCGGGTCCTAATTCACAGTTTTTCTGGCCTCATAAAATCGTGGGTCTAGGGCCAGAGACAACGAGGCTGAGTCGGGCTGAGTATGCTAAACTAGAGAGAGCGTCGCTGGCAAGGGGGCTACAACTACAACAAGATGGACATATTTGACCGTGATTTAATTGTACTACACGTTTCAAAATGATGCCGAAGTAACAACATACTGATACCGGTTAGTAAAAACCATGAATTAATGCTTTGTCAAGTCTGCAGACAGACGGCAGGGGAAACACCTTTTAAAATGCTTGTTTTCTAAATGGAGATTGGCTAAGCTAACGCAGTATATGCTCTGACCGTCCACACTCACAACAACGGCCTACAGACATAAATAAAGCAGCGACTGTATTCACCATGACACAGGCAGTCTGTGGTTTGTACTTGTTTAACTTTTGTCTAGTTTCTGAACATATCTGAGGAGCTGTGAGCTCTGAGTGCTAACAGCTAACGGCTGTGTTGTTTTTCTGGGGTCCTCTGAAGATCACGTCACGGCTCCGCCTACACTGCGTTACTATAGATACTGCCCCAGTTCCTAAACTGTAATGGAAATGCGCCATAAAGTGAGCCAGTCCTAACGAGGCCCAGCCATACCGAGCGGGGCCGAGCGAGGCCGTGTAGTGGAAATGCGGCATTATATGTTGCCCCATTACGCCATCTAGTGTTCAAATAGCAAAACATATAATCCATTCTAACGGGTGCAGCAGAGGATGAATCCCTCTTTCATGGCCACACATGCAGCTCACAGTGACATTTGACCTCTGCTTTGAACCCATCCTAGTACTGGGAGCAGTGGGCAGATATTGCACAGCGATGGGGGTGGGGGGGTGTCCGGTGCCTTGCTCAAGGGCACCACGGCAGGGCCCAGGAGGTGAACTGGGACCAAGTAGCAGTCCACACTCCATATTGTACGTCTGTTCGGGGACTTGAACCGGCGACCCTACGGCTCCCAGTCCAAGCCCCTACTGACTGACTTACAATAACCACAGAAGAAGAATTGTATGTACTGTAATGTAACAAGAGACCAGTCTGTTGTGATTTTGGCATCATTTTGAAATGTGGACTACAATTTAAATAACATAAACAGATGTTAATATTTGTTAGAAAAATCTCCCTGGTCCCTGGCTTGATCTTCAATCTCAGGATCCATGTATCTGTGATCCTCTCCAGAATGGAAGTAGTCATCACATACAGAGCATCAACTAGTTCCTGAACAGTGTCCTTCACATGCTGATATCCAAGAGAGGGAGTTACACAGTCACAAGATGGAGGAATAGAAAGCAGTATTCAATGTTTACTTCAGATTAGCTCCACGTCAGAAATGAGCATGCTTGTCATATGTCTATCTCCATAGAGGCTGAATCATCATGTTAATCACATAGCTATCATATGCCTCAAACAGTCCTGATGCTCTTCTGGGTAATCAGACATCCTGTCATGTTCACAGCTACAGTTGGGATACCTTTGTTATTAATGGAAACAAGGGAATGAAGACGCGACAGTCCGTTTTTCATTCATTTCTTTATTCCGTCCACAGTGGAACTTCCCCAGTGCGATGATCACCAGGAAGGTGGGCGCGGCGCTGGCGGCCGGCTGCACGGTGGTGGTGAAGCCGGCCGAGGACACGCCGCTGTCCGCCCTCGCTCTGGCCGAGGTAACTACGCCTCATATCGGTTTAAGACCTGATTCTATTTCACATCATTAATCCACTACTACGCTCTCTCACAACCAGTCCACACACTTTGAGGCGCACGCACTCCTGGAGAGGGGATGATATCATCAGAGCTGTAACGTAACTAAGTACATTTACTCAGGTACTGTACTTAACTTGAGTATTTCCATACTACCATTCAGAGGTACATGGTGTACTTTTCCTCCCTACATGTATTTAATACATTTAGTTACTTCACAGATGTGGATGAATGATGTGAAATATAATCAAGTGTTAAATCAGACTTTAGTTCCACCTGGAGTAAATCCACAAGCTACCCTGCAGTATACAAAGTCATTCAAACTAGCTGCACCTTTACCAGCTTTGAGAACACTTTCATGATCAATCATTATAAAACATATCATATTTATCCCTGCAGCTGGCGGAGCAGGCGGGGGTCCCAGCGGGGGTCTTCAACGTGGTCCCCTGCTCCCGGGAGAAGACTCCCTCTGTCGGGCAGGTTCTCTGCACCGACCCCCTGGTGGCCAAAATCTCCTTCACCGGCTCCACGGCCACCGGCAAGGTGAGGGGAAGTTACAGAACAGGGGGTCCAAACTACGGCCCCCGGTCCTTCCCTCCTTCAACATGTCTTTATTATGAATTGTGCATCAATTATGTGTCATTTATACATTTTGAATTGGCCCTCAGCAAACTCTAAAGGTATAATGGAGTTTGGCCCACACATGTCTTATATTGTACGTCTGAAATATATATAAATATATATACGTAAACATGTATTACACGGCAGTATTGATTTGTTAATAAGCCCGCTTAACTTCAGTCAGTTCAAGTTGACAAATCTTAGTTCAATAACTTGTTTGCATAAGCAGCTTGAGACACACACTTCCTATTTCACCTAATAATAAAAACCTAGTCTCTCTCTCCCACACACACTGCAGTAAAGTGTGTGTTCAGTTTGCACACAGTACAGCAGCGTGCAGGTGTGATATCTGACCATGCTGCTGTATTTAAAGCTAAATAGTCTTTTACTGAAATGCGTTTTTCGTGAAATAGTTTGATCTACAAATCCACAAAAAATATGAGTTAAATATTTTTTTTTAAATGTGTCAAAAAGTTACAAAGAATATCCCAAATATGTGAAATAAAATTTGAAAAATCTCAAAATAAATATTATTAAAATATCTGAAAAGGTTTACACAGCACAGCAGCGTGCAGGTGTGATATCTGACCATGCTGCAGCATTATTCTTACGCTTTTTCTTAAGCTAAATAGTATTTTCCCAAAATAAGTTTTTGTCAAATAATTTGAGAAAAATCTACAAGAAATATAAGTTTAGTAAAAAAAAAAAAAAAAAAAAATCTTACTAAGAAATGTGAAAAAAGGCCAAAAGTAATCTGAAAGTGAGTAACATCCATGCTCAGTTGAAACAGTACACCATGCATGCGTTGTATTTAAACATCGTGTACTCCGCTCTCAGGTACTTCTGAAAATGGCCGCCGACACGGTGAAGAAGGCGTCCATGGAGCTGGGAGGCCACGCCCCCTTCATCGTGTTCGACAGCGCAGACGTGGAAATGGCCGTCAGCGGCGCCATGAACTCCAAGTTCAGGAACTCCGGACAGGTAACGAGTACTCGCAGTACTGCAGTACAAATTATAAGATAAGATAGGACTTTATTCATCCCGAAGGAAATAGTTGCAAAAATACAATAAACACAGCAGCACTCAAGTAGAAGTACACATACTCGTGTTTAAAAATACTCTGGTAAAAGTAGAAGTACTGACTAAACTTCTTTACTCAAGTAAAAGTAAAGAGGGCTTTGAAATGTACTTCAGTAAAAAGTACCCATAACTAGCAGCTGTTTTAAAGAGTACCTGACCTCCCTTTATATTAATAGAACAATAATGTCATTGTTAGCTAAGGAATGTTTCCATGCTGAACAACGGCAACATGACAACGTTTTCATTGGTCCCTCTTCTTTAGAGAAGACCAGGAAATGATGGATACACGGATCGTGTTCAAATCAATAGGCACGCAATGACTCTAAATAATAATGATCACGCCACCAAACACACATTCAAACTAAAGGAACCAGCCTGTTTGGGAAATGTGAGAAGTAGAAAGTACAGGTATTTGTGTTCAAAATGTAAGAAGTAGAAAGTACAGGTATTTGGGTTCAACATGTAAGAAGTAGAAAGTACAGGTATTTGTGTTCAACATGTAAGAAGTAGAAAGTACAGGTATTTGTGTTCAACATGTAAGAAGTAGAAAGTACAGGTATTTGTGTTCAACATGTGAGAAGTAGAAAGTACAGGTATTTGTGTTCAACATGTAAGAAGTAGAAAGTACAGGTATTTGTGTTCAACATGTGAGAAGTAGAAAGTACAGGTATTTGGGTTCAACATGTAAGAAGTAGAAAGTACAGGTATTTGTGTTCAACATGTGAGAAGTAGAAAGTACAGGTATTTGGGTTCAACATGTAAGAAGTAGAAAGTACAGGTATTTGGGTTCAACATGTAAGAAGTAGAAAGTACAGGTATTTGGGTTCAACATGTAAGAAGTAGAAAGTACAGGTATTTGGGTTCAACATGTAAGAAGTAGAAAGTACAGGTATTTGGGTTCAACATGTAAGAAGTAGAAAGTACAGGTATTTGAGTTCAACATGTAAGAAGTAGAAAGTACAGGTATTTGTGTTCAAAATGTAAGAAGTAGAAAGTACAGGTATTTGGGTTCAACATGTAAGAAGTAGAAAGTACAGGTATTTGTGTTCAACATGTGAGAAGTAGAAAGTACAGGTATTTGTGTTCAACATGTAAGAAGTAGAAAGTACAGGTATTTGTGTTCAACATGTAAGAAGTAGAAAGTACAGGTATTTGTGTTCAACATGTAAGAAGTAGAAAGTACAGGTATTTGTGTTCAACATGTAAGAAGTAGAAAGTACAGGTATTTGTGTTCAACATGTAAGAAGTAGAAAGTACAGGTATTTGTGTTCAACATGTAAGAAGTAGAAAGTACAGGTATTTGGGTTCAACATGTAAGAAGTAGAAAGTACAGGTATTTGGGTTCAACATGTAAGAAGTAGAAAGTACAGGTATTTGGGTTCAACATGTAAGAAGTAGAAAGTACAGGTATTTGTGTTAAACATGTAAGAAGTAGAAAGTACAGGTATTTGGGTTCAACATGTAAGAAGTAGAAAGTACAGGTATTTGGGTTCAACATGTAAGAAGTAGAAAGTACAAGTATTTGGGTTCAACATGTAAGAAGTAGAAAGTACAGGTATTTGGGTTCAACATGTAAGAAGTAGAAAGTACAAGTATTTGGGTTCAACATGTGAGAAGTAGAAAGTACAGGTATTTGGGTTCAACATGTAAGAAGTAGAAAGTACAGGTATTTGGGTTCAACATGTAAGAAGTAGAAAGTACAGGTATTTGGGTTCAACATGTAAGAAGTAGAAAGTACAGGTATTTGGGTTCAACATGTAAGAAGTAGAAAGTACAAGTATTTGGGTTCAACATGTAAGAAGTAGAAAGTACAGGTATTTGTGTTCAACATGTAAGAAGTAGAAAGTACAGGTATTTGTGTTCAACATGTAAGAAGTAGAAAGTACAGGTATTTGTGTTCAACATGTAAGAAGTAGAAAGTACAGGTATTTGGGTTCAACATGTAAGAAGTAGAAAGTACAAGTATTTGGGTTCAACATGTAAGAAGTAGAAAGTACAGGTATTTGTGTTCAACATGTAAGAAGTAGAAAGTACAGGTATTTGAGTTCAACATGTAAGAAGTAGAAAGTACAGGTATTTGGGTTCAACATGTAAGAAGTAGAAAGTACAGGTATTTGTGTTCAATGTAGAAAGTACAGGTATTTGTGTTCAAAATGTAAGAAGTAGAAAGTACAGGTATTTGTGTTCAACATGTAAGAAGTAGAAAGTACAGGTATTTGTGTTCAACATGTAAGAAGTAGAAAGTACAGGTATTTGTGTTCAACATGTAAGAAGTAGAAAGTACAGGTATTTGAGTTCAACATGTAAGAAGTAGAAAGTACAGGTATTTGGGTTCAACATGTAAGAAGTAGAAAGTACAGGTATTTGGGTTCAACATGTAAGAAGTAGAAAGTACAGGTATTTGGGTTCAACATGTAAGAAGTAGAAAGTACAGGTATTTGGGTTCAACATGTAAGAAGTAGAAAGTACAGGTATTTGTGTTAAACATGTAAGAAGTAGAAAGTACAGGTATTTGGGTTCAACATGTAAGAAGTAGAAAGTACAGGTATTTGGGTTCAACATGTAAGAAGTAGAAAGTACAAGTATTTGGGTTCAACATGTAAGAAGTAGAAAGTACAGGTATTTGGGTTCAACATGTAAGAAGTAGAAAGTACAAGTATTTGGGTTCAACATGTGAGAAGTAGAAAGTACAGGTATTTGGGTTCAACTTGTAAGAAGTAGAAAGTACAGGTATTTGGGTTCAACATGTAAGAAGTAGAAAGTACAGGTATTTGGGTTCAACATGTAAGAAGTAGAAAGTACAGGTATTTGGGTTCAACATGTAAGAAGTAGAAAGTACAAGTATTTGGGTTCAACATGTAAGAAGTAGAAAGTACAGGTATTTGTGTTCAACATGTAAGAAGTAGAAAGTACAGGTATTTGTGTTCAACATGTAAGAAGTAGAAAGTACAGGTATTTGTGTTCAACATGTAAGAAGTAGAAAGTACAGGTATTTGGGTTCAACATGTAAGAAGTAGAAAGTACAAGTATTTGGGTTCAACATGTAAGAAGTAGAAAGTACAGGTATTTGTGTTCAACATGTAAGAAGTAGAAAGTACAGGTATTTGAGTTCAACATGTAAGAAGTAGAAAGTACAGGTATTTGGGTTCAACATGTAAGAAGTAGAAAGTACAGGTATTTGTGTTCAATGTAGAAAGTACAGGTATTTGTGTTCAAAATGTAAGAAGTAGAAAGTACAGGTATTTGTGTTCAACATGTAAGAAGTAGAAAGTACAGGTATTTGTGTTCAACATGTAAGAAGTAGAAAGTACAGGTATTTGTGTTCAACATGTGAGAAGTAGAAAGTACAGGTATTTGTGTTCAACATGTAAGAAGTAGAAAGTACAGGTATTTGGGTTCAACATGTAAGAAGTAGAAAGTACAGGTATTTGTGTTCAACATGTAAGAAGTAGAAAGTACAGGTATTTGTGTTCAACATGTAAGAAGTAGAAAGTACAGGTATTTGTGTTCAAAATGTAAGAAGTAGAAAGTACAGGTATTTGAGTTCAAAATGTAAGAAGTCAAAGTAAAAAGTCTTCAGAAAAATAAGTAGTGGAGTAAAGAACTGAAACCAGAACGAAGTATTTGTACTCCACTACTTCCCACCTCTGAACGTAAAACATCAGAACTCTGACTCCTCCCTCTTCCTGCAGACGTGCGTGTGTTCGAACCGCTTCCTGGTGCAGAGCAAGATCCACGATGTGTTCGTGGAGAAGCTCGGCCGAGCGATGGACGCCGAACTCGTGCTGGGTCACGGCTCGGAGCCCAGCACCACGCAGGGCCCGCTGATCAACAACAGAGCTGCAGAGAAGGTGAACCACAAACTACACTCAAGATTTAATCACAGGAGTCTAGTTTCACTCAAAGCAACGGGTCGACTGGGAGAGACCTCGCTCTGCAGAGAGAACAAAACGTATCAGTATGTAGTGTCTCTACTTTAAAGAGTCCTCTCCTGCTGATGTTCAGGTGTATATCAGTATGTAGTGTCTCTACTTTAAAGAGTCCTCTCCTGCTGATGTTCAGGTGTATATCAGTATGTAGTGTCTCTACTTTAAAGAGTCCTCTCCTGCTGATGTTCAGGTGTGTATCAGTATGTAGTGTCTCTACTTTAAAGAGTCCTCTCCTGCTGATGTTCAGGTGTATATCAGTATGTAGTGTCTCTACTTTAAAGAGTCCTCTCCTGCTGATGTTCAGGTGTATATCAGTATGTAGTGTCTCTACTTTAAAGAGTCCTCTCCTGCTGATGTTCAGGTGTATATCAGTATGTAGTGTCCTCTACTTTAAAGAGTCCTCTCCTGCTGATGTTCAGGTGTATATCAGTATGTAGTGTCTCTACTTTAAAGAGTCCTCTCCTGCTGATGTTCAGGTGTATATCAGTATGTAGTGTCTCTACTTTAAAGAGTCCTCTCCTGCTGATGTTCAGGTGTATATCAGTATGTAGTGTCTCTACTTTAAAGAGTTCTCTCCTGCTGGTGTTCAGGTGTATATCAGTATGTAGTGTCTCTACTTTAAAGAGTCCTCTCCTGCTGATGATCAGGTGTATATCAGTATGTAGTGTCTCTACTTTAAAGAGTCCTCTCCAGCTGATGTTCAGGTGTATATCAGTATGTAGTGTCTCTACTTTAAAGAGTCCTCTCCAGCTGATGTTCAGGTGTATATCAGTATGTAGCGTACAATGTGTCGGAGCGCTAGCCAATAGGAGCGTGAGTTTTCCGTAGTGATGTCACTGTGTTCACGGAAGTAAAATAAGATTTATATATTTTTTTAAAACAGTTTTGAACGCCTCCACAGAAGTTGTGTACCACAGTATGATCAGAGTTGGTCACCTGACCCTCCGTCTGCACCAAGCCCCCAGGAAGTGCTCCGGACTCTGAGGGAAATGTTCCTAGTGTCCAAACGGCGTCACTACAACTTCCGTATCAGTCCGAATTGGGGCTAAATGACAGGAGGCGGGGCTTAAGGGGAAACTCAACTCTGCTCTATGAGTTACATACGGGTACTTCTGCTCTCACAGCAAGGCATGATGGGTAATCTGTGACGTTTTGCTCTTGAGAATGTCAGGCCATGTTGTCCTCATGAGCCAATGAGCAGCTCTCACAGGAAACAACAGGCTGTATCCAGGTGTTATTAAACATGGTGTGTACGCTGTGTGCAGGTGGAGGCCCAGATCTCGGACGCGGTGTCCCGGGGGGCGAAGGTTCTGCGGGGGGGGCGGCGTCTGGACGGCTCCTTCGTGCAGCCCACGCTCCTCACTGGCGTCTCCACAGACATGATCTGCACCCGGGAGGAGACCTTCGGCCCGCTGCTGCCCGTCATCAGGTCTGAAACACTCTTCGTTCAAATGTTAAACTTGAGGGTCATTTTTCTATTTTTTTTACTTTTTTGTTTCATTCAATTTTTCTCAGGCAGAAAACCATGTTACAGGACTTGTTGCTATATTGTGTATTATTTAGATACTCTTTATTATATGTCCTTCTTTTGTGAATTTGTATATACTTGCTGCTAATGTTAATTATTATTTTGTATATTTTTAATATATATTTACTCGAGTAAAGCTCGACAACACGCTGCTGGAACAAAATCATTTCCTAATTTGGGAACAATAAAGTTTCTATCTATATATTTACAAAGAATTAAACTATAATACACCTGCTATGGATGTTTATTGTCTAGGTAGCGCTTTATGAAAACAGTTAAATGTGTTGAAAAGAAGAAATAAATCAACCACTAAAGATGTTTGTGGTCTTCAGGTTTGACACGGAGGAGGAAGCTCTGGCCATCGCCAACGCTTCTAATGTCGGGCTGGCAGGTGAGTTGCCTTCTTATAAAAAAAAGTCTACTTCTACTTGTCATCAAATTGAACCCTGAGATGTTGAGGACCCCAAAGTTTTATGATAGAAATGTAGAGTAGGGTCTCCAGCTCATAGAAACTGCCGGATGCTAACCTGTAGATGTTGGGACATTAGCACAACATTACGTTAATTAGGATTATAGTCATGTAAACAATTGTAAAAAAGAAAATGGCTTGGCCGATTTGGACAGTTCTGGAGTGGTTTGGGGGGTTATTCAGGACGCTGAATCCATTTCTGACATTTCCAGGATCAACAATGACAGATTTATCCTGAAAGTGGTCATATCTGTTCTCTCTGTGGACTGATTATGAGTTATGATCATTGGATACAGAGAGCACAAGATGAACATTATTACCTCTCCTGTGGACACAATTATCTTTCAATTAAATAAGCAATCTGTCTAATCCAGATCATCCAGAGTCCCTTAAATCTTCCAAATCAACCCAAAATGAATCAAAAATCAGTCCACAGAGAACAGATATGTCAACTTTCTGGTTAAAACTGACATTTTGAATCTTGATAAATGTCAGAAATGGACTCGGCATCAATACATCTCAATAACCCCCAAAACCACTCCAAAATTGTCCAAATCAGCCAACCCATTTCATCGTCTGCATAGCATATCATGCTAATTTATGCTAATTAACGCAACCTTGCTAATTGTGCAAATTGTCCAACATCTGCAGGTTAGCATCCGGCAGTTTCTATGTGCTGTGGACCTTACTCTACATTTCTATCGTTAAACTTTGTGGTATCAACATTGCAGGGTTCACAACAGGACTCCTGCCTGAAATCAATCAACAACTTTATTAATCCTGCAAGGGGCAATTGGTTATGAGCAGCTTATGTTCACAGGAACACACAGGAAGAAAGCACACAGATACACCCCTGGATGTGGATCATTCCGATTCACACTATAACGCTGTGATGTTCCTGTCCTCAGGGTACTTCTTCTCGCAGGACGTGAGTCAGATCTGGCGCGTGGCGGAGGCGTTGGAGGTGGGGATGGTGGGAGTGAACGAAGGCCTCCTCTCCACCCCGGAGGCCACGTTCGGGGGGGTCAAGCAGTCCGGGCTGGGCCGCGAAGGCTCCAAATACGGCGTGGACGAGTATCTGGAGGTCAAGTACATGTGCTTCGGAGGCCTCAAGCCCTGAAGGGAGGCAGCAGGGAAATACAATCAAAGTATAAGTGCAGTAATCTGTCAAGGTGGTCATACCTGTAGATCTCAGGTTCTTAAATTAACTTAACGTACCTATGACCAATACATCTCAAATAACCCCTTTTTTTAAATGTGAAATTAGTATGTTTTCACTAATCGGAAAATAGCTCGTTAGGAAAGTAAAACAGGGTCGTTTTTCATTTCTTTTTTTTTCAAAGGAAATTGTCTTTCGGGCAACGATTTGATGTCGTCAGCTATATTGATTTCTTGGGTTTTAGTCTTTATGATTCAAATCACAAAAAAGTCAAACAAAAATCAGTTTCTTGAAAGGGAAAACATGTTTTTATAACCTGTGACCTTGAGATACGCAGTCTACCGTTACATCCCATGACCTGAGGGGAATACTCTCTTCTGATTGGCTGGAGTTGCTGCCTCTGTAAATCTTTCCAGTTTAGCCCAAATTACAATAACTAACGGATTTACCATTAACTTTCAAAGAGTGGTCAAAAGCAGTTTTAGATCTGTTGCTCAACAAGAGATTAATAAGTTAGTGGTAAACTCCGTCTGCAGCCAACATGACGCATGTAGTTTTACAAAAAAGGCTACATGGATAATATAAATAATTAAAGGAGCTTTTTTTATTGTTGTTAAAGCTAGTTAGCTCTACACACACATCACAAAGACCTTAAAACACTTGGTTAGTAAACAAAACAAGATACTTGGACAAGTGCGATCTATAGTATGCTTTATTATCATTTTCAAAAGAGAAACATTTTTGAACATGATGGAAAAAGTCATTAAAATAAAGTCATTTAAGAGTGGGACAGACATGCTAACGTTAGCGTAACCTCTGATATATATATATATATATATATATATATATAGATAGATAGATATAGATAGATATATATATATATATATATATATATATATATATATATATATATATATATATATATATACCATCATCCAGGACCTGAGTGGAGCTTTATATAATATGACTCGTGACGCCACACAACAATGCAGTTAATGCTGATAAATATCCCTGTAAGACGGGTTACTGCTGTTCAGTAATGAGCTAGTTAGCGTTAGCAGCTTACATGAGAGCAGAGGAATCGGCTGAGGACATCATATATGAAAAATAATAAACTCTACCCAATCAGAATTCAGTATTTTCTGACGATGAAGCAAATGTTCATAGTGGCCGAACGGCGTACTGTTATATTTTCATTATTTACAACACCGGATTGAGTACAAAAACCTCCTCAAACCCACCTGTTCAGACCAGCCCCCTGTCGTGCTACATGTCCCGCATCGCTGTCCTGTTGTACCGTTTTTTTAAGAATACTCTCCGAATGGTCCTTGGGTGCTTTGTGAGGCACCTCTAAATAAAATGTATTATTAGTATGTGTGACATCCATATTTTTCCATTCAGAAATATCTCAATAACCAATTGGTAGATGACATGGTAACAAAGGCAATAACAATAACTCAGATTTGATGGTGAGGAGTGACACAAGTGGAGGGTCTCAGTAGCACAAAGGTCTTTGTTTAAAACGGTAACGAAGCTGCACACTTGGCCGTGGTGGAAAAGGGAGATTTACTGTGATGAAATAAATGAAAACCGTAAGCTAGATTTTTCATGTTTCAATTAGTTTTGTATGCTGACATTTGATTACTTTGGGATGCATGGTATGTGTGTATTAGTGTGTATAAATCATTAGCAAGATTCTGAAGTCCTTAAAACATTGTAATAATATGTTTGACCTTAGGGCTGCTAAAACATGTTCCAAAGTACAATAGGCGCTTTCACACCAAGTACTTTTCCCAGGAAGAGTTCCCGGAACTCTTTAGTTCCTGAACTATCTAGTTGATCGCGTTCACACCGGAATAATTCCCTGAGGGAGGATTACGCAAATGAAGCCGCTGACGACACTTCTTCTTCTTCTGCTTTGGGTTTACTGGCAGGCCGCAAACAACTTCACGGCGTATACTGCCACCCGGAGGCTCCGGGACTTCGGGTGGCAGTAAATCGCCTCCCGAAGTCCCGGGTAAATTACCAGAAGTGCCGACACCTCCTCATCACTCCACCGCTCCCACGTTTTATTTTGTGTTGCCATAAGTTAGTCTCTCTCCGTTGGTGCGCTGGGCTAATGCTAATGCGAGCAAATAAAATGGCGGCTTCACAAAAACCTTTCAGAGTTTTACGGGCCGTGGTTTGCAATCCGCCCAGCCAATCAGAAATTGGAACCTTTTCCTCCCCAGGAAAGTACCACCTCTCTAACAGGGACTGGAAAGGGGGGGGAAAGGTTCCCGAAGAAAAGTTCCAGATCTTTTTGTTGTGAACGCAAACTCCCAGGAACTATTGGAACCATTCCTGGGAAAAGTACTCCGGTGTGAAAGCGCCTATTAAGATAATCCTTTATTGATCCTACAGCGTGGACATTTGCAAATAACTGAATGACTTTAAAAGTGGAAAACATGACCCTAAGGTTTGTTAGACATGCGTCTAGTTTTTAAGAAGAAATACATGTTAGCATCTCTCTCTCTGTGATGTAATGACTATTGTAGTTTCATAAAAACCTTGTAACTGTAGGGTGATGTTGTTCGGCAGGTTGTGTGTCCCCCCCCCCCCCCCAATTATGGTTCCCAAAGTGCCATTTAACTGACTTTTTGTAATTAGTTGTATGGATCTCGCCTTTTTGTGATTAAATATTGCTTTAATGTCATTGTTATATTTTAATGTAAAAATAAAAATATTAATTTTTGTATTTCTGACTTTAGATATGAATCAAACATTAAAAGAGGAAATTGTTATATTACATGTTGTCGTGTTGTTTTTAATGATATGTAACCAGATTATAACTTTTTGCCCAAATTATTTTCGAAAGAAGAAATATACCCTTAATCCTTAATGGTCCCACAGAGGGGAAATGTACATTCTGCATTTGACCCATCCTAGTGTTAGTTAATGAAATGAAAGCCACTTATCCGTTCCAGTGTTTTCCCTACTGTATATTACTCGCCGTTAAATGCTGCCGTAAATCGATGAATGACGAAAGTGTCTGGTTAGTTCAAGTCAGTAATCATACAGTCCAAGGGATGTTTTTATAAACTTCTCAGGTCAGATTAACAGAACAAATGAAGTGAAAATAACATAGTGTGTAGCCTACAGGTTATAAACAGGCTCGGTAAAGCACATGCTGAACACAGGGATTCTGTGTCAAGATAGTCTGCTCCTCTATCATCCATCTGTACATCCTTCTACATCAGATGACTCCACGGCCATGGAGATCATCTGCTATTAGCTTGTTCACCATCCATTTTGAACAGTATGGTCGTTGCCGCTGCCCGTGTTCAGCCCACCAGTGACGTCAGCTCGTTTACTCCTGTACAATCTTTGGAGAATTAAGGAGGAATTAAGCTTCATAGCTTCATCAGTCAGTGCCTTAATCCAACGTGTTGTTACTAAACAACACTGAACAAGCAACAAAGAACAGGATTGAACAGCCTTCACTTTTGCACAACTCCAAAACTGATTGGACTGTACATGTTGTAACTAGCAAGCTAACAAGCTAGCCACTGTCTGCCAGGCGAACAGTTTTACCCTGCTTCTCGGCTTTGTGCTAAGCTAGGCTAACTGTGTCCTGGACTGGACCCCCATTTAGGTTAAGACCTTGAAATGTATGACCAGCTCATGTTTTAGCAGAGACACTGGATGGTTGTGTTTGTAGCTAACAAGTATTTAAGACTAACATTGGTTAAAGGAATATGATTAGCTTAGTGTTGAAGTTTATAAACTCAGATTTAGCTTTTTGGTATTTCAATTCTAGTTCCCCTTAGCTAAGATTATTTGTTTAGGTTCAGCTCTTTGGGTTCACTAATTAGCATAGTTAAGCTAGAGTTAGCTTAAAGTTGGCTCATAGATGATGATTGCTGGTTCTCATTAGGCAATCTACTCTTGGATAAACTGTCTTGTTGGCTAGCAAGAAACAACATGTCAATCAGAAAGGTGAGTTGGTGGAAGGTGGATCATTTCTGTTTGGAAGTTCGTGGCTAGCAGTTTTCTTCCTGCTAAACTAGGCTACACATGTTCATTATGACAATACCATGAAGTACCCATTGTTTGGTGTGTTTGGTAAGCTGATGGGTTAGCAGAGGGTTTAACCTCAATAAATACTGTGTCTCTGCTTTGGATAGCATTACCTTTAGTTACAGTTAGCTTTCAGGTCTGTTACCTTAGAGATAGCTTAATGTCACCTTCAAATCAGGGCTTTAATAAACCAAAATTACTCTTTAATGAACCCGCTTGTTAGGTATCAAGATACTAAATGTAAATCAGACAGATTTGGAGTTGTTGGAAAGTGGATCGTTTCTGTTTTGAGGTTGAGCTAGGCTAAACACATTGTGGACTTTGTAAAGGTAAGGATTGAAATGAAGTCAAGTTTATTTTTGTCTTGAACAAGCGGCCTGCCAAAGCAGATTTTTAAACTTTGAGATAAAGCCATTCATTGAATTAGCTTCCAGACCAGTTAGCATCTTGGTCCAGCTGGCTAGCAGTTGGAGGACATTTGGATAGATTGGTGACTAGCTTATGGCTAACAAGACACAACGTGCAAATCAGACTTGGAGATCTTAAGTGTGCAGCTGAAAAGATTATTCGATAGGCTGAAGAGTTGTTCATTATTATTAAATAAATCGCCAACTTTTTAGTTAATCGATGAATCAATCTAACTTCTAAAATGTAAATATATTTCCCCCTATGACAGATATTTGTGGGATTTGTGGACAAAATCAAACATTTGAGGATGTCATTATGGGCTTTAGGAAACCCTCCATTTCATGACATCTAATAGAATGAATAACTGATAGAGAAATTGCCAATAAAAATAATTGTTAGTTGTAGCTCACAGGTTTTCTCTTTTGTTGAAGCTTGGATAGCAGTTGCCCCTTAGCTTGCAGAAGTTGTGCTAAGCTAGGCTAACACATCCTGGTACTCTCTCTGTACAACCTCCCCTTCTGACCCTTGGGACGATTTCCCAAAATGTCTGATTCTTCTTTAAATGTCTTCATTTCAAGACACAGGCCCTTGAGGTTGTCTTCTTGTAAAGCATCTTCCACATTTATTTTGGACAAAATGTGGAAGTTTCAAACCCGTGTTATTCTTCGTAAGGAGTCGCAGGTTTTTCCTCCAGGCATTAAGTCCTGAAATGGGACACTGGTTCATTCAACTGACCTTACAAAAAGGGGTCCTTTGAACTGTAAGAAGTTAAATCTCTCGCCCAAGCCCCCAGGAAGTGCTCCGGACTCTGAGGAAAATATTCGTAGTGTCCAAACAGCGGTACTACAACCTCCGTATCAGTCCGTGACGTCACTGGGCCCAGAAATACTTTTTCCCATTGACTAACAGGGAGAAAGAGACGTCTGTAAATCAGCGGGTAATTGTTTTTTAAACTAAATAAACTACCCAGTATGAAATATTTGATAGCCCTGATTAGAATCATTAGGTCCTTAAAGTTTAAAAATGCACTAAAAGCCGAATCCAGATTTATTTTCTCTCTCCATTCATTCTACTGAGCTGAGGGGGCTTAATTACAGGGGGCGGGGCTTAGTGGCAGGAGGCGGGGCTTAAGCGGAAACTCAACTGCGCTCTATGAGCTACATACAGGTACTTCTGCTCTCACAGCAAGGCATGATGGGTAATCTGTGACGTTTTGCTCTAGTGAATGTCAGGCCATTTTGTCCTCATGCACCAATGAGCAGCTCTCACAGGAAAGAACAGGCTGTATCCAGTTCTTATTAAACATCCGTGGTCTCTCCCTGCCTGCCAAGAGTGCAAACATCACAGACGAGTCCCGTTTCGTCACCAGGAGGTCAGCTGTCCGTCACCCAAAGGCGTTGCCGTTGCGCGCGGCGCTGGCGCTGGTCCGGTTCCTGCTGCGGACGGGTCGCTCTCGGCTGAAGATGGTGTCCTGGTCGCTGTCCAGCTCCGACTCGGACATCATGAGGCTGGAGTTGTGCTCCGTGCTGCGGTGTTTGATACCTGCAGAGAGGGGAGATGTTTCATCATTCCATTTTATGCTACTCTGTACTGCTACTCCACTACAGTTCAGAGGTACATGGTGTACTTTTCCTCCACTACATGTATTTAATACCTTTAGTTACTTTACAGATGTGGATGAATGATGTGAAATATAATCAAGTGTTAAATCAGACTTTAGTTCCACCTGGAGTAAATCCACAAGCTACCCTGCAGTATACAAAGTCATTCAAACTAGCTGCACCTTTACCAGCTTTGAGAACACTTTCATGATCAATCATTATAAAACATATCATATATATTATTCTGAAATGGACCAATCTGCACAATGACTACTTTTACTGTCACTACTTTAACTTTTTTATAGTGCTTTTTTGACCGCTGCAGTAATCTCCCAGCATGCATCAGGTTCTCACTCTGAAGGGACTCACTGAATTTGGGTCTGAGCTCCAGCCTCTCCTGCTCATCCATGTTGTCCAGGATGGTGTATTTGGTTTTCCTCCTCGGTCCCTTCTGTCTCCTCCTGATCAGAAAACACAGAAGCTTCATCTCAACTCTCTTCACTTGCACCACCAGTTAAAGGTCTCCCATCATGCTATTTGTAGGCATATATTATAGGTCTCAGATTTCTCTCTCTCTCTCAGGTTTACCACAAGGTGAGTTCCTTTTTATTTCCTGCTTCTTTACACATACTCTCTCCAGTACAGGTTAGCTCCGAGTGCTAGCGATGCTAATGTAAACAAAGACCGTATTACGTCCAAAACAGTCGGGCATTGTTTCTGACAGCAACGTCACTTCATCCTCAGAGGATAAAGAAGTTCTGCCAACAGTCTCTCTATATATTCAACTGGTCCTACATCCCATCATTAAACCCTCAGTCCTTAACCATTTACAAATCCACCTTTAACTTCATTTGCCCTCCTGAAATATAAATCCTTAACATATGTCTCTGTTAAACACATACAAGACTAAAAATACTATTTAACAGAGTAAAAGGCAATCAGCGTATAAGACTATATGTTTTAAATGATCATTTCACACGACACCTGTCAGCAACACAGGGTAGCAGGTGTGTGTGATCAGTGTGTGTGTGTGTGTGTGTGTACCTCCTGCAGCAGCAGATGAAAGTCCAGCTGACGGAGACGATGAAGACCATGAGCATGAAGCTGGTCAGGATGACGTACAGCACCCTCCACTCTGCCAGGAGGAGAGGCAACATTACATCACCGGGGGAAATGGCTTTGGACGGTTTAGGAGTGGTGTTGGGGGTTAGTGAGGACCAGAAAGTGATTTGGATGATCTGTACTCTGTGGACTGATTTTGACTACCATGAGTAGTGTTGGACCATTGGATATAGAGAGACCAAGATGAAAATAATACCCTATACTTTGGACAATTTATCTTCAAATAAATACCCACTCCAGATGATCCAGAGTCCCCTAAATCTTCCAAATCGACCCATTTCTGACATTTTCAGGATCAACAATCACAGTGTTAAACAGAATGTTGACATATCTGTACTCTCTGTGGGCTAATTTTAATACATTTTGGGTCGATTTGGAAGATTTAGGGGACTCTGGATGATCTGGATTTAACAGATTGCTTATTTAATTGAAAATAAAGTGTCCACAGTAGAGATAACAATGTTCATATTGTGCTCTCTATATCCAATGGTCCAACTCTACTCATGGTAGTCAGAATCAGTCCACAGAGAGTACAGATATGACCCCTTTCTGGTTGAAACTGACCTTTCTGATCCTGAAAACTACTGTTATCTTTCTTACAGTGCAGACGCTTTTCTGCTTGCTCTTGCCTCTGCTTACTTTTTATGCTGATTTTCCTATTCTTATTCTCTGAAAACTTCGAGCAGCGGCTCCTGGACATTAACTTATCACTGGGACAGTTATTCATCGTAAATAGACGGAGGGTTTCAGCCATATTTCAACATTTTTACGACGACCTCAGTCTTACAGTAGCGTGGCCTAGCAACAGCTAAAGCCTGGTAGGCTACTGCATGCTATTTAGCTTAAGCTAGTTGGTAGCAAAATGCCTCCGTTCTCTACAGATGACTTCCACAAACTTCAACAGAAGATGGCTGTGTTGGAAATGAAAATGCAACGGTTGGAAGTTAACGTGGAAGTGAATGGACTATGTTGTGGGAATAACACCACTTTACCAGTGTTGCAAGATAATGGAAAAGGGTATGCTAACTCACAGCTAGTTAGCAGCTACAAGGTTTCCAAGGAACAGGAGGGCTGTGTACTGGGTAATAAATCTACAAGTGGTAGTCCTCCCTGGAACTCTCTGGGTGCAAAGCCTAAGAGTAAATCATTTCCATGGGATTTGGGAGGACGAATAACAGGCAGAGCCCAGCGCTCTGAAATCTGTGATGCGACCGGCTGGCCTGCATTGTTATCACCCAGGAAGAGCGCCTCTTCAACCCCTATTCATACTAGGAAACAGCCGTGGACAGCTGCTAAAGGGAGAACTACAAACAATCCTCCTAAACCACCAAGTGTGCCAATCCAGAACAGATACGCTCCGCTGACCGAGAACCGGAGATCTCTTTCTGATGACCTGGATAACCCGTCCTCTTCACACAGCAGGGTAAGGACCAATAGCTACTCCAAAAGTAAAAGGCTAGAGGGAAAGCTAACGGCTGGGCCTGAAACTCTGATTGTGGGTGATTCTGCTGTAAGAGATGTAAAAGGTCTGTGTAGTAAGAACAACACCAAAGTACTCTGTTTTCCCAAGGATATGGTCTCCGACTTGGCTGAGAAGATCCTGCATATTGGGGCTGAACATCCGACTGTGAAGAATGTGGTACTACATATTGGAACAAATGATGTTGTGAAACAACAGTCAGAAGCGCTGAAAGAAGACTTTAAATGTCTGTTGGAAACTGTCAGCTCTCTAAATGCGGAGGTGTTCATCAGTGGCCCTCTACCGCCAGTCAGAAGAGGAGTGGAGAGATTCAGCAGACTGTTTGCATTGAACATGTGGCTTTCAGCTGCCTGCACTGACCATTCTGTCCATTTTATTGACAATTTTAACTTTTTCTGGGATCGCAGACATCTTTTTAAGGCAGATGGAGTTTGCCTGAACAAGTCAGGAGTGAAATTGTTTATCTCTAACATATTCAACTGCCTGCGTCAGCAATCTGTTCCCTCTGCCAAGGACAAGCGGCAAGAGGAATCAAAACAGGAGAAAGACACAACACATTGCGCAGAAAACCCTGAAGAAGTATCACTGCACCCGCCTGAGGAATGTTCTGATTATGGGAGACCTATGACACAAATGGAGGAGTCTCCACTGCCCGTCACCCCCCCTGTCAACGCCTTGGAGGATACTCTTCATTCATCTCCCAGCTCTCTCTACTCTCCGCTCACCCTTTCACCCTCGCCCTCCCCCCTGGAGTTCGATGACCGCATGAAGGCGAGATGCAGGGTTGGCAGCATGTCCTTTACCCCCGCCCCTCAACGACGCCCACCAAAATCACCGAAGCAGAGGCGCGCACCATCTCCCCCGTCTTCATCACTGTGCCTATGTCAACCACCTCCCATCCCTTCAAGAAAGCATCTGCAGTCTCCGAAGCCTGATAAGGATGTGTGTGTACAAAACGCAACAAACTTTTACTGATATGTGCTGGGTCCAGGCTCAAGGGCATATGGCACTCTCAACTCTTTCCAGCACATGCCGGGGCCCTGCCTGCCAGTAGCTTTGCCGATATCTGTGTTGATAGGTAATAGATTAAGAGCGGTAAATCAGCTTAGAAACAGGAAGTGCTCAAACGTTTGTGTGAGGTTATCAAATTTAGCAGTGATTCCATGTCAGCCACAGCTTGTCACAAAATGTTTTACTGATAGTGTATTTAACAAACTTAAACTAGCTTTATTAAATGTCAGGTCTTTGGCAGGAAAAACATTTTTAATCAATGATTTTATCACTGAGCACAATCTCGATTTTATGTTTTTAACGGAAACTTGGATTGAACAAAATAACAGTGCAGCTGTTCTTATCGAATCAACCCCTCCCAACTTTAGTTTTATGAGTCAGGAAAGAATGCATAAGAAAGGGGGTGGAGTTGCTATTTTGTTCAATGATTCCATTCAATGCAGGAAGACATCTTATGGGGACTTTGCTTCTTTTGAATATGTGGCCCTTCAGCTGAAATGCTCCTCTCGAGCTCTGTTCCTAAATATCTATAGACCACCCAAATACTGTGCAAGCTTTTTTGATGATTTTACTGAACTGCTGTCTATAGTGTGTATTGACTTTGACCGTTTAGTCATTGTTGGTGATTTTAACATCCATGTTGACAACCCCCAGGACAGAGGGGCTAAAGAACTGTTTTGTGTTCTTGATAACTATGGACTGACTCAGCATGTGGCGGAGCCCACGCACAATAAGGGGCACACTCTGGACTTAATTATCTCAAAGGGTCTGAATATCTCAAAGGTTGTGGTGACTGATGTTGCACTCTCTGATCATTCCTGTGTTTTCTTTGAGAGCTCTATTTCTGTTCACAAAAATGTTCAGAAAGAGGTAACCACAAAGCGATATTTAACTGAAAATACTAGGGAAATGTTTACTCATAATTTTTCATCCACACTTGCCCCTGCTAACATCTCAGTAAATGAGCTAGTAGATCATTTTAATTCAAAAATTAAAAATGTTATAGATACCATTGCTCCAACTAAGGTAAAGGAAGTGATTAGCAAGAAAATATCTCCATGGAGAAAGGCCATGACCGTGAGAACAGAAAAAAGAGAGTGTCGAAAAGCTGAACGTAGGTGGCGAAAAACAAATCTCCAGGTTCACTTTGAAATCTATAAAGAGAGACTTGGCCTTTATAATTTGGAATTGAAAAACGCACGACAGTCTTTCTTCTCTGACATCATTACCAAAAACAAAAACAACGCACGTGCCTTGTTTGCTACCGTCGACAGACTAACTAACCCCCCAGTGTCAGTAGCCTCTGAATTTCTATCCACCAGGGCGTGCAATGATTTTGCCTCCTTCTTCACTGACAAAATTCAGAAAATTAGACAAGCAGTCAGTGCCTCTACATCAGGTACAGCAAATGTTTTGTCCCTATGTCCACCTAATATCAATTCAAACACCATGACACAATTCCATCAGATTAATGGTAAAAACTTAGAGGACATTATTCAACTTCTGAAATCCTCCTCCTGCTGCCTTGATATTATTCCAACAGGATTTTTCAAAGATGTTTTTCCTTGCATGGCCTCAGATCTACTTCATATAGTAAACACATCTCTTCACTCAGGTATTTTTCCAGAGGCCCTGAAAACTGCAGTCATTAAACCGCTCTTAAAAAAGAATAATCTAGATGCCTCAGTAATGAACAATTACAGGCCAATATCAAACCTGCCATTTCTAGGTAAAATCATTGAAAAAGTAGTATTTCAACAGTTGAGTAACTTCTTGCATTTAAATAACTGTTTGGATGTGTTCCAGTCAGGATTTCGTCCAAACCACAGCACTGAGACTGCTCTTGTAAAGGTCTTCAATGACATCCACTTAAACACAGACAGTGGCAGAACTTCAGTGTTAGTATTATTAGATCTCAGTGCTGCGTTTGACACTGTTGACCACAACATATTACTAGACCGACTAGAAAACTGGGTGGGACTTTCGGCAACAGTTCTAAATTGGTTTGAGTCCTACTTAAAGGACAGAAAAAACTTTATTTCTATAGGTAAATACACATCTGAGTTGACAAATATGACATGTGGGGTACCTCAAGGCTCCATCTTGGGGCCTCTTCTCTTTAACATCTACATGCTACCACTGGCTCAGATAATGAAAAACAACAAAATAAGTTACCATAGCTATGCGGATGACACACAAATTTACGTAACAATTTCACCAGGAGATTATGCTCCAATTCAAACACTGAGTAAGTGCATTGAACAAATCAATGACTGGATGTGTCAGAACTTTCTCCAATTAAACAAAGATAAAACTGAGGTAATGGTTTTTGGAGCCAAGGCAGAACGTATAAAAGTTAGCGCTGAGCTTCAGTCTGCAATGTTCAAAACAACAGATAAAGCCAGAAATCTAGGTGTAGTCATGGACTCTGACCTGAGTTTCAACAGTCACATTAAAACAGTTACTAAATCAGCCTACTATCACCTAAAGAACATATCCAGGATTAAAGGACTAATGTCACAGCAGGATTTGGAAAAACTTGTCCATGCTTTTATCTTCAGTAGACTCGACTACTGCAATGGTGTCTTTACAGGTCTCACTAAAAAATCTATTAGAAAGCTGCAGCTAATTCAGAACGCCGCTGCTCGAGTCCTCACTAACACTAAGAAAGTGGATCACATCACTCCTGTTCTGAAGTCTTTACACTGGCTTCCTGTGTGTCAAAGAATAGATTTCAAAATATTGTTGCTGGTTTATAAAGCTTTGAATGGTTTAGGCCCAAAATACATGTCTGACCTACTGCTAAATTATGAACCATCCAGAACCCTCAGGTCTTCAGGGACTGGTCAGCTTTCTGTCCCCAGAGTCAGAACTAAACATGGAGAAGCAGCGTTCAGTTATTATGCTCCAAATATCTGGAACAAACTCCCAGAAACCTGCAGGTCCGCTGCAACTCTGACTACTTTTAAATCCAGGCTGAAGACTTTTCTTTTTGCCGCTGCTTTTAATTGAACTATTCACATCTTAAACTGCACTGTAACTTTTAACTTTTATCCATGTATTTTTTCTTTTAATGTTTATTTTATTATCTTTCCTTTTTAATGACTGATTTTAAATGCCATTTTTAAAATGTCTTCCATTTTTGTAAAGCACTTTGAATTACCTTGTGTTGAAAGGTGCTATATAAATAAACTTGCCTTGCCTTGCCTTGCCTTGAAAATGTCAGAAATGAATTCAGCATCCTCAATAACCCTGACAAACACTCCAAAACTGCCCAAATCGGCCAATGCATTTTTAAACTATTGTAGGCTACAGTAGGCTATAATGCTAATTAACGCAATTTATACCAATCGTGCTAATTGCCCAACATCTGCAGGTTAGCATCCAGCTGTTTCTATGAGCTGGAGACCCTACTATACATTTATATCATAAAACGTAGGGGTATTCAACATGTCCGGGTTCACAGCAGGACTCTATGAGCTGGTAAACAGAAGAATTAGAGCGTGTATTTACCACAGTTGCTCTCTCCGTCGCCCAGGTATCGACGAACCAGGTTCTGGGTCCAGAACGGGTCGCAGGCACAGTCCTTAGAGATGGGATCACACTGACCGTGGCCCGAGCAGCGGAGCAGGCACACTGACCGGCAGAAAGAGAGAGGGCAGGAAGCTGTGATTCTGTGTTCCCCCCAGAGCGAGTTTCTTATAAATCACAAAGTGGTGTTAATACGTGGAGATTATCCTGCTGAACTACACGTGTAAGTATCAGAAACGTTTAATTGACATAGAGATTATTTTCTGACATAATCCAAAATCACATGGAGGAATCCCATTGGACCAGAGAGATGCTGCCTTCAGGGTCCAGCACAGAAATACTTTCAAGTTTCAAGGCTTTATTGTCATTAGCACATGAGCTACAGTGTAGATATGGCTATGAACAACTGAAGTCCCCGGCTCCTCCAACAGAGCATCATATATATAGGACATAAAACAAATACAACAGATAAGTATGTATGGTGAATACTCAACAGATGAGTGATGTTTGAGAGTAAATGAAGTGTTTAACAGGATGATCTCTTGCTGACTCACAGACGGTGTCGACTCTCAGAGCTCTGAACAGCAGGTAGTCGCTCTTCTCCCGCAGCAGCTGGTTCCTCAGCAGAAACACCAGCCTGGAGCCAGACACCGGCCCCTGGGGGCCCCGAACCGAGAGCCGCAACACCGTGCTGCGCGGGGGGGGGAAACCAATACATCAAGCACTGTACTTCTGAGGTACTTGTGTAATGTCTATTGTTGCTAAAACCCAGATCAAATGCACGCTGAAGGCTCTTTGCCCCTTTCACACCGGCGCTTTTCCAGCTCCTGCTCGGAGCTGGAAAAGCGCCGTTTTTTCCTGTTCACACCGCAGCGGCGGCGCGTCATAGCTCCGGAATGCGGTTCACTTCCAGCTCCAAAAAATTGTCGGTCCAGAGGCAAGAGCTTCGGAGCTATGACGCGGCGTCGCTTACGTCTCTCTTACGTCGAGGCGTGCAGGAAACCTTACTTTGACCATCCGTTCGCTGTTATTGATCATTGTGGAGAGCAGGCAGACGTTTTGTTTGTTATTATAGCAGCTATCGGATGGAATCAATACATGGGCTGCACAGGTTGTCATGTCCGACTATCACAAGTAGAATCATAATGAAAAATACGCCGGTAAAAAGTGCCTGTAGAAAACGGCTTAGCAAGTAGTCAGTTTAGCTTCGGTTGCTATGCTAACATCACCCATGTTATACCAGAGAAACTTTCATAACAGCGTTGTGATGCCAAACAGCGTCAATTCAGACTGACACCAAACAGCGTCAATTCAGACTGACACACATTCACTTAAGGGAACTGGGGATATGTATCAGCTGCTTGTGTGACAGTCAGACAGTGAATACTTTAGAGCCGTGTGAGCTAACCCGGAGCTAACGGGAGAATAAACTCCCGTGGAAGAGCAGCCAGCACTGCAGCGGTTGCTAAATGCCGCTGAAACACATTAATAAACAATGAACCACGTATAGAAAAGTATAAGGTTGGAGAAGTCGTTATTTAATTTAATCTGGCTTCGTATGATTAAAAGCAACACGATCATCGACCCGACGCAGTCCCCGGCCCGTTGTTGTTGTGGGAGAAAATCAGCGACGTAAACTGTGACGTCATGACGCAGCAGCGGCAGCTCTGGGCAGTGTGAACAGAGCGGGAGCTGAAAAGGGAAACCGGAGCTGAACCAGAAAAGCTCTCGCTAGGAGCTAGAAAGGGAAAAGCGCTGGTGTGAAAGCCGCATCAGAGCAGGTTTTCTCTCAGTGATTGTGCTCTTATGTTAAACGTTTGTTGTTTGGGTTGTTTTCATGTATTGTGTCTTGATATGTGTCGGTTGATGTTACACATGGAGCTGCTGTGATGCGAGGAGCATTTCAGACTTGATCTGACCATTAAAGTATTATCGTATCGTACTCAGTGGAGTAAAGTAACTAGTACATTTACTCAAGCACTGTACTTAAGTACAATTTTGAGGGACTTTATTTGAGTATTAAGTAAACTGGCGGTTCAGTAGACTGGCGGTTCAGTAGACTGGCGGTTCAGTCAACTGGCGGTTCAGTAGACTGGCGGTTCAGTAGACTGGCGGTTCAGTAAACTGGTGGTTCAGTAAACTGGCGGTTCAGTAGACTGGTGGTTCAGTAAAGTGGTGGTTCAGTAAAGTGGTGGTTCAGTAAAGTGGTGGTTCAGTAAACTGGTGGTTCAGTAAACTGGTGGTTCAGTAAACTGGTGGTTCAGTAGACTGGTGGTTCAGTAAAGTGGTGGTTCAGTAAAGTGGTGGTTCAGTAGACTGGCGGTTCAGTAGACTGGCGGTTCAGTAGACTGGCGGTTCAGTAAACTGGCGGTTCAGTAAAGTGGTGGTTCAGTAGACTGGTGGTTCAGTAGACTGGTGGTTCAGTAAACTGGCGGTTCAGTAGACTGGTGGTTCAGTAAAGTGGTGGTTCAGTAGACTGGTGGTTCAGTAAACTGGTGGTTCAGTAAACTGGTGGTTCAGTAAACTGGCGGTTCAGTAGACTGGCGGTTCAGTAAACTGGCGGTTCAGTAAACTGGTGGTTCAGTAAAGTGGTGGTTCAGTAAACTGGCGGTTCAGTAGACTGGCGGTTCAGTAAACTGGCGGTTCAGTAAACTGGCGGTTCAGTAAACTGGCGGTTCAGTAGACTGGTGGTTCAGTAAACTGGCGGTTCAGTAAACTGGCGGTTCAGTAGACTGGCGGTTCAGTAGACTGGCGGTTCAGTAAACTGGCGGTTCAGTAAAGTGGCGGTTCAGTAAAGTGGTGGTTCAGTAGACTGGTGGTTCAGTAGACTGGTGGTTCAGTAAACTGGTGGTTCAGTAAACTGGTGGTTCAGTAAACTGGCGGTTCAGTAAACTGGCGGTTCAGTAAACTGGTGGTTCAGTAAACTGGCGGTTCAGTAAACTGGTGGTTCAGTAAACTGGCGGTTCAGTAGACTGGCGGTTCAGTAAACTGGCGGTTCAGTAAAGTGGTGGTTCAGTAGACTGGTGGTTCAGTAGACTGGTGGTTCAGTAAACTGGCGGTTCAGTAGACTGGTGGTTCAGTAAAGTGGTGGTTCAGTAGACTGGTGGTTCAGTAAACTGGTGGTTCAGTAAACTGGTGGTTCAGTAAACTGGCGGTTCAGTAGACTGGCGGTTCAGTAGACTGGCGGTTCAGTAAACTGGTGGTTCAGTAAAGTGGTGGTTCAGTAGACTGGTGGTTCAGTAAACTGGTGGTTCAGTAAACTGGTGGTTCAGTAAAGTGGTGGTTCAGTAAAGTGGTGGTTCAGTAAACTGGTGGTTCAGTAAAGTGGTGGTTCAGTAAAGTGGTGGTTCAGTAAACTGGTGGTTCAGTAAACTGGTGGTTCAGTAAAGTGGTGGTTCAGTAAACTGGTGGTTCAGTAAACTGGTGGTTCAGTTAACTGGTGGTTCAGTAAAGTGGTGGTTCAGTAAACTGGTGGTTCAGTAGACTGGTGGTTCAGTAAACTGGTGGTTCAGTAAACTGGTGGTTCAGTAAAGTGGTGGTTCAGTAGACTGGTGGTTCAGTAAACTGGTGGTTCAGTAAACTGGTGGTTCAGTAAACTGGTGGTTCAGTAGACTGGTGGTTCGGTAAACTGGTGGTTCGGTAAACTGGTGGTTCGGTAAACTGGTGGTTCGGTAGACTGGTGGTTCGGTAGACTGGTGGTTCGGTAGACTGGTGGTTCGGTAGACTGGTGGTTCGGTAAACTGGTGGTTCGGTAAACTGGTGGTTCGGTAAACTGGTGGTTCAGTAAAGTAGTGGTTCAGTAGACTGGTACCTGAGGTGCGAGTGTCCCAGCAGCGCTCGGACCTGGATGTCGCTGTCCAGGACGTGGATCAGCGCGGCGAGCTGTCGGACCAGCTTGTCCCTCTGAGCCACGCTCACCTGAGAAACCGCTACCTGCATCTCCAGCTCCACCTCCTCCCCTCCGCCCGGCTCTACGGAGACACAGCGGGGACAAACTTCAGTGCGACAGCAGCCCTGGTCTCGTTAACAGGAAGTTACTGTTTCCACAATAACTTTTTACCGGCACACATACATGTAAATATATCTAATATGTATATATGACCCAAATATGTATATATGTTCATTTTAATTCATTTCTTATTTTAAACTTACTTAACTCAATATCATTTAATTTGTTATTGTATTCATCTTTAATCTGTGTGAATCTGTGCTGTCCCGTTTTTCATTCTTACCCTGTTGCTGTTAAACTACTGAATTGGGATTAATAAAGGTCCATCTTATCTTATCTTAACTGACTTCACGTGTGTTCTGTTCTTTAGCACACCATTGACCTCTGAATTGTGGTGGAGTTAAAGTACCATCAAATGTAAAATACTCTAGTACAGTACAAGTACCTCAACATTGTACCTAAGTACAGTACTTCAATCAATCAATGTTTATTTATATAGCCCAATATCATTATCTTACATTTGTCTCAGTGGACTTTACAGTTTGTACAGAATATGAATACGACCCCCTCTGTCCTTAGACCCTCTGTCCTTAGACCCTCTGTCCTTAGACCCTCACATCGGACAAGGAAAAACTTCCAAAGAAAACCCACAGTTTAAATGCGAAAATGAAAGAGACCTCACAAGAGAGGAGGGATCCCTCTCCCAGGACGGACTGCAATAGATGCCGTGTGTAAATTGAAAAGATAATACATTTTACAGCATAGGTAGACCAAATGTTTGGAAATGCATGTGTCTATATTAAGAAGATGAATCCACGAGGATGTCAACAATCCTGTGGGAGCCATCAGAGAAGAAGTGAGGTGAGCGTCAGCAGGACCACAGCAACAGGCACATTACTTGAGTTAATGCTCTCCGTTACTTCACCCCACTGATAACCAGGACCCACCTGGGCGGACCTCCACGGTGGCGGTGGCGCTGCCGGAGCGGCCCTGAGCGTCGCTGACTCTCAGCTGGAACAGGTAGGTTCCCTCCACCAGGTTGGCCAGGTACAGGGAGGCCTGCGTCTCCGAGCCGTACAGAACATCCTGCATTCACACAGGGAGCTCGCTTATTGGTCCTAAATACAAATCAATCCGGACATCATTGATGTAATCCAATGTAAATAAAACGTAAAAAGAGATTTCAGTTCAGGATCTCAATGCAAAATCTAACATTGTGTCGTTTTTATATTGTGTAAATTCTATTTGTGGGGTGTTCACTCTCCTGTAGTTTGTTCCATAGGTTTTAGTGCATGCAAATGGTCTGCAGAGGCTACAATCCCTGTGTTCCCTTCAGAGAGAGTTTCATAACATAATTAGTGATTCGATTATTTCCACACCACAGTAATACTTTAAGAAAATATAAATCTTATAACTGCCAAGACTAACATCGATTGGGAGGGACTTTCTCTCCTTTGTTTACTTCCGGAACATGGTGACATCACTATATAACACTCGCTCCTATTGGATAGCGCTCAAACACATTGTATATGATAGGCTAAGGGGCGGGACATCTCTAAGTGGTTGACCAATCCCAACAGAGCCGGCCAGCTAACCAATCAGAGCAGACTGGGCTCTGGTTTCAGACAGAGGGTGAAAAGAGGTGCTGCAGCCACAGTATACGATGTCGTGAAAAATGTAAAAGTATAGAAATGTATGAAAAAACATTCTATAGTATGTCGTTAAAGACATCTGTATAGTACGTCTCATAGAAGTAATAGTATAGTATGTTAAAAAACTTAAAATCAAATTTGATTTAAAAAGGTATTTTAAAGTAAAAAGATATATAGTATATATAGAAAAAATATAATAGTTTCTTGTAAAATTGTAATTCAAAAGTAATAAATAAAATATAGAAAAAATGTCAAAGAAGTAAAGTATGTTATTAAAAAATACAGTATAAATTGCTACAAAAAGAAAACATGAAATACGATAAAAATGTTATTAAAAAGTCATAATAATAACTTGGATTTATATAGCGCCTTTCAGCTTTACAGAAAAACAGTCAGAAAACAGTCAAATAGTAAATAGTAAAGTATAGTGAAAAAACAGTACAGTTAGTTTTCGTTAATCTGATGGTATCCACTGACCCCGGCTGCAGGGCTCTGGCTGTCTCTGACCCACAGGAAGTGCACCTCGCTGGGGTCCGCGTCGCTCACTGAGCCCCGCAGAACCAGAGAGTTGTTGGGCAGCGTCAGAGAGTGGCTGCCGCTGGCGTGCACCACCGGAGGAGAAGTCCTGGCTGCAGCAGGGAAACATCACAGGAACAGCTTAGAGCAGGGGTTTTCAAAGTGTGGGAAGGTGAGCCTCCCCTCAGAGAATATAAGAACAGCCGCGCCCCCCCTCCCAATTATTATTGCTATTATTATTATTATTATTGTTGTTGCTATAATGCAGGGGTATTATTATCCAGTGGAATGCCCTTACCTACTGGCCTAGTTAAATCAAAGTGGTTACTTATTTTTGTCTGGGCAGTGTAGTTTTACACACCATCTTATTTGACTTTCTCAGGGCAGACCCCCACAAAGAAAAAAATATATGTACACACGTAAGGTCATCATCTTAACAGTTTTTAATGCTCGAGTCATCCGTGAGCAGAGCATCAAGTTGGCATGCCTATTACAGCTGAATGCGGCGATTACCATCTTGTTCAGCAAAACGCCTCACAAACGTATTAACATCCAAAGCTTTAGTGCGTTTTGATTCAATGCTGAGCACAGCCAAACTTGACAGTCTCTTCTCTGTCATTGTAGACCGCAAATACCTTATTCCTTCCGTGTACTTGGGTCCGAATGCTTCTCGTTTTCTGCCGCCCGTTCAAATGAAATCGCCGCCAATCACATTTCCTCGCTCGCGCCAGGGTTACAAGGCTCGCGTCTTGTGCTGCATTCACTTGCACTCGGACATCAGGGATTTTCTCTGATAAATGTCCGATGAGCCACAACTTTTATTTCAAAACAAAGCTGCCAACTGGGGTGGCCAGACGCTGTCTCCTCTCTCACTTTAGGTAACTTCACTAAAAATCGATCCATGTTGCCGCTCGCATAAAGTTAGCTGAAGTTAACGAGCTAGATTTCATTGTTTCTCTTTATTTTTTTCTCACGCTGCGCCTCCCCTGAAGCTCTCTGGCGCCCCCCAGGGGAGGCGCGCCTCACACTTTGAAAACCGCTGGCTTAGAGCATTCATCACAGGGGGACGTGTTGTCGTAACATTTTAAAAACACACTATAGAACGTAAAAAACTATACTTTTACTTACTCCTTAATACTTTACTTTAACGACATACTATGCTATGACTTTTTAATGATATTTTTACAATTAAATGAAAGAGGCTCTATTATGCTGATGTTCAGGTGTATATCAGTATGTAGTGTCTCTACTTTAAAGAGTCCTCTCCTCTGATGTTCAGGTGTATATCAGTATGTAGTGTCTCTACTTTAAAGAGTCCTCTCCTGCTGATGTTCAGGTGTATATCAGTATGTAGTTGTCTCTACTTTAAGAGTCCTCTCCTGCTGATGTTCAGGTGTATATCAGTATGTAGTGTCTCTACTTTAAAGAGTCCTCTCCTGCTGATGTTCAGGTGTATATCAGTATGTAGTGTCTCTACTTTAAAGAGTCCTCTCCTGCTGATGTTCAGGTGTATATCAGTATGTAGTGTCTCTACTTTAAAGAGTCCTCTCCTGCTGATGTTCAGGTGTATATCAGTATGTAGTGTCTCTACTTTAAAGAGTCCTCTCCTGCTGATGTTCAGGTGTATATCAGTATGTAGTGTCTCTACTTTAAGAGTCCTCTCCTGCTGATGTTCAGGTGTATATCAGTATGTAGTGTCTCTACTTTAAAGAGTCCTCTCCTGCTGATGTTCAGGTTTTCAGTATGTAGTGTCTCTACTTAAAGAGTCCTCTCTGCTGATTCAGGTGTATCAGTATTAGTGTCTCTACTTTAAAGAGTCCTCTCCTGCTGATGTTCAGGTGTATATCAGTATGTAGTGTCTCTACTTTAAAGAGTCCTCTCCTGCTGATGTTCAGGTGTATATCAGTATGTAGTGTCTCTACTTTAAAGAGTCCTCTCCTGCTGATGTTCAGGTGTATATCAGTATGTAGTGTCTCTACTTTAAAGAGTCCTCTCCTGCTGATGTTCAGGTGTATATCAGTATGTAGTGTCTCTACTTTAAAGAGTCCTCTCCTGCTGATGTTCAGGTGTATATCAGTATGTAGTGTCTCTACTTTAAAGAGTCCTCTCCTGCTGATGTTCAGGTGTATATCAGTATGTAGTGTCTCTACTTTAAAGAGTCCTCTCCTGCTGATGTTCAGGTGTATATCAGCATGTAGTGTCTCTACTTTAAAGAGTCCTCTCCTGCTGATGTTCAGCTGTATATCAGTATGTAGTGTCTCTACTTTAAAGAGTCCTCTCCTGCTGATGTTCAGGTGTATATCAGTATGTAGTGTCTCTACTTTAAAGAGTCCTCTCCTGCTGATGTTCAGGTGTATATCAGTATGTAGTGTCTCTACTTTAAAGAGTCCTCTCCTGCTGATGTTCAGGTGTATATCAGTATGTAGTGTCTCTACTTTAAAGAGTCCTCTTTAAAGCGTGTGGGAGAGAAAGTCCCTCTGGAGGGAACACAGGGATTTTAGCCTTTGCAGACCATGCACTAAAACCTATAGAACACACTACAGGGAAGCAGAATAGGGCCTCTTTGAAATGTTTACCAAACTACAAGACTAAAATCTTTTGTTGATGAAACAGAAAAGACTGATGATTTTTGCTTTTTGGTATCAACTCTGATAAATGATAATGAAACAGTATATCATATATTTATTTTAAGAAAGTGACCCCTCTCACCTCCCTGGACTCTGAGGGTGAGTGAAGCACTGTCCGTCGCCCCCTGCTGGTTGGACACCGTCAGCGTGAAGTTGTAGCGTCCTGCCCGAAGTCCCGTCACCGTGGCAACGGCCTGATCTGCACCCTCAACCTTTAACCCTGGGGGGCCGCTGGAAAAACATGATGGAGAAAACAAAGCCGAGTGAAAACCTGATAAAAGTAATTCATTTTACTTTAACTCAAAGTACTTTCTGCAGCTGCTGACACTGTGTCCAGTTTACAGCAGAATCTGATTACTATGGGTTCATACCGCTGTAGTAAACATACTAAGCTAAAGGTGGCTAATGTTGGTCTATAAAGGACATACAGCACAGTCACATGACTTCACGTCACCACCGCTAAGCTAAAGGCGGCTAATGTTGGGCTATAAAGGAACTACAGCACGGTCACATGACTTCACATCACCACCGCTAAGCTAAAGGCGGCTAATGTTGGGCTATAAAGGAACTACAGCACGGTCACATGACTTCACGTCACCACCGCTAAGCTAAAGGTGGCTAACGTTGGGCTATAAAGGAACTACAGCACGGTCACATGACTTCACGTCACCACCGCTAAGCTAAAGGTGGCTAATGTTGGGCTATGAAGGAACTACAGCACGGTCACATGACTTCACGTCACCACCGCTAAGCTAAAGGTGGCTAATGTTGGGCTATAAAGGAACTACAGCACGGTCACATGACTTCACATCACCACCGCTAAGCTAAAGGTGGCTAATGTTGGGCTATAAAGGAACTACAGCACGGTCACATGACTTCACATCACCACCACTAAGCTAAAAGCTCGATGACGTTTAGTAGTGGGCCATAGTTGAATAAAATCTCAAATAATACCAAATACAGTTCATGGTCTTACCTCACGACGTGCCAGTGGTAGCTGACGATGCCGCGGTCGTCCGTGCTGCCGCTGCCGTTGAGCAACAAGCTGCTAACAGGGAGGACCAGCTTCCTGTCAGGACCCACGACGGCCAGCGGGCCACGGTTTGACCCGCCGACCTCTGACCCTGAACAAAGGGATTAAATAATAATGATAATCATCATAATACATAATAATAATTAAAGAGTATTGAAATACATAAATAATAATTGTGTAAAACATTTATAAAAACAAACCAAAGGATACAAGTACAAATAATAATGAAAATAATAAAATAATAATAAAAAATATATATTAAATAAATAAAACTATTATTAATGATAATAATAATAATATTAATAATAACAAGCTTCTGCATGGGCAGCACATTGAAGTGTTTCCCTGCTGTATACAGTATATAAATGTACCAGACTCAGTGGCTGCAGTGGTTGTAGCACTGGGGGTGGTCACTGTTGGAGGGATGGTGCCGGGGGTCAAGGTGGTGCTGGGGTCAGGGGTCACGGGGACAGGGGTCACGGGTCTTTTTGTGAATTGGGTGGAGGTGGGTGGAGGTCTGGCTGACTGCAGCACCTTCAGCATGTCTGTGGAGCATCAAGAAAACACAACTAATATCATCCTTACATTTTATTTATTTAATTCTGAATCAGAACAGTTCTGGTGGTTCAATGTTAAATGTTTGTTTTCCATGTATTGTGTCTTGATATTTGTCTATGTTGATGTTACACATGGAGCTGCTGTGATGCAAGTCACATTTCAGACTTGATCGGACCGTTAAAAGTATTATCGTATCGTTCATGTGCCAAAATAATAATAAACAACATATCATAAATGCACAGACAGTGGTAAAACAGAGCATCCCTGTAGGAATACCTGGCTGTGTGCTGACCGGCCAATGAGGTGCGGCGGTGGTGGTGGGAGTGGAAGTCCTTATATGGTCGTGCTGAGTGGAGACAGCTGTGGGTCCCTGCAGCAGTAACAGCGGCAGGGACGTTGAACCAGTGCTGCTTTGTGTTTCAGTCTGTACAAAAAAAGAAGAAGGATATAAGCAGCCTGACCATTCGAGGTATTTCTCTGCAACCCTTTTTCCACGCTAGCTGTTTCCCTTTGCTACCAGTTTTTATACTAAGCTCTCGTCCACCTGAACGTGTCACTAGGGATACACAGATTTTAATATTTACCTTGTTGTGTTGCATACATTTTGTGTCACCTAAATGCTGTGTTGGTTATTTTTCAGTCGGACTCAAACAACAGTAGTTTTACAGTAGCTTTGTACATCACCCGCCTTTAGCTTAGCTCTTCCTTGGCTGTGTGAAGGGACATGATTAACCTGATAACCCACTCACAGCGTTCTCTGCAGCAGGAGGGTCAGTCAGTCTCCTGGTTCTGTGCTCGTCTCCCTGGATGATGTTCCCCTCAGAGGAGGCTTTAATCTGGGCCACGCTGCTTCCCGTCGGCCCCCCCTCTGGAGCATCCCCGGCCTCTGATTGGTTGAACCTGGCTCCCCTCTCCTCCTGGCTCTCCTCTGGATACTCCAGGTCAGGGAACAGGGCGAGGTCCTTCAGGGCCTCCAGGTCCCCGCCATACGGCTCTCCTCTCACCAGAGACTGCAGCACCTGTTGGAGGTCAGAGGTCCAGTTTAGGACAGGCTATGAACCAACATTTAATCTTCAGTTGAGTAGCATGAAGAGTTTCAGGCAATGAGTTTTACTTTTTAAATAAAGGTTGGAAAACCAGAGTCGGTTCCCGGACAAAGACAGTGCGTAAAAAGTTCCAGCCATTCACGCACGCAAAAGAAATAATAAGAGTTTTCATTGGTCGATTTGGAAAGTTTAGGAGTGGTTTTGAGGGTTATTGAGGATGCTGAGTCCATTTCTGAGGATCACAAATACCTGTACTCTCTGTTGTAATTTCTAACATAAAACGTTGGGGTTTTTAACATTTTCCGTGTTCCGACCAGGACTCTATAGAAACGTGCCGCTACGCACCAGGCTCTGCGGGGTCTCTCTCCGCAGGAAGGCGAGGCGTGACTCTGCGCCCGGTCTCTCTCGGGGGGCGCAGGCCTCGGCCCGCGGGCAGCGCAGGACGTAGCATCGCCCCTCGAACAGCCACGCCAGCTCGTAGCCCGTTAGCTTGCAGCACGCCGCCACGCACTGAGGCAGTGACGCCACGCCGGGGACATGCAGGATCCCGCTGCCCTCCGACGCCGAAGACACCACGGCCTCCGAGAAGGTCGCCCCCTGCCAGCAGCCAGACGCCACTGCAGCTGCAACACAACGTTACTTTGTGAGAATCAGAATTCCTTTATTAGACCCATCAGAGGGTGGGAAGTACCTAAGTACATTTACTCAGGTAATGTACTTTAGAGGTACTTGTACTTTACTTGAGTATTTCCATTTAATGCTAAGTTTGACTTCTACTCCACTACAGTTCAGAGGTGCATGTATACATGTATGTAATACCTTTAGTTACTTCACAGATCTGGATGAATGATGTGAAATATAATCAAGTGTTAAATCAGACTTTAGTTCCACCTGGAGTAAATCCACAAGCTACCCTGCAGTATACAAAGTCCTTCAAACTAGCTGCACCTTTACCAGCTTTGAGAACACTTTCATGATCAATCATTATAAAACATATCATATATATTATTCTGAAATGGACCAATCTGCACAATGACTACTTTTACTGTCGCTACTTTCACTATATTTTGATGAGAATACTTTTCTACTTTCACTTCGTTTTGTATTAAATGTATTATTATTGGTGATGATGATGAGGATGATGATGAGGATGATGTACCTTCCACACAGTGAAGCAGCAGCAGAAACGCTCTTTCCCACATGGTTAGCCTGAAACAGAAAACATCGTAAAAGGTTATTTTTATTTGTTATGTTAATGTCATTAGTTTTGTTCTTCAAACCAGTGACTTTCAACCGCTGTCCCGAGACAAACCAGTGTGCCGTGGGAAGTTCTCCAATTACACGTAATCGGTACCAAAAATTAATATTTATTATAAATATTATAATTAGATCTATTATTATAGCGCATAAAATAAACATTAGGTTCAAGGTTCTTTATTGTCAATCTGACATAGCTACAGAGTCATTATGTCGTTGAAAATCTTATGTCACAGGCTTCTCCAACAGTGCAACACAATAATACAGATAAGCAGACAATATTAACCAATATTAAAATATACTATATTAAAAGTAATACAAAAAGAAAATACAAAAAGAAAAATGGTTTAGTGAGAGTAAAAAAAAGTGGAATTAAAGCGGTTTGGGGGATAAATACATTATGTATGCAGCCAAACTTTGTTTTTATTTCATTTCTTAAAGGTCCCATGTCATGGCAATTTCTACTGATCATAATTCCATTGTTGAGGTCTACTAAAATAAATGTATATTGTGCAATTCTCCAAACTCACACTGTCTCGCCGACCCCACACCAGTGAGCCAGCTCACAGTGTCCCGCTCCTCGCAGCAGCGAGCCTCGTAACGTCCCGCCGAGTGTGTGTGTGTGAGGAAGTCCGCGGATTGGTCCAAACGTAACGACTCTGCGGACGTAACGTTACGTCACTATACCCGAAATACGTCACTATACCCAAGAAGTAAACAATGGGAAAAGAGAAATGTCCAACGAGGCGTTGTGGGGCAGCATAGACAGGTCTTTTCTGTGTTAGAGTTTTACTCGCTACAGGGTGTACTTTGAGGGTTTGTGACTCTGCAGACCGTTTATATGCAGAAAAACCTTCATAACACACAAAGGGACGGGTAATAACCGGAAAAGCATGACATGGGACCTTTAATGTCTGTTGGTATTTGTTTAAGTCACAAAATGTCTTGCCCCGATAAACATTCCTGTTTGTCATCTTGCAATATACTCATTTATATAAATAGTTATCACCGCAATAAACCGTATTTAATTTGGTCTTAATGTACATTATTTAATTTAATATTCTGTTCTTGTACATATCATATTCTATTTACATGTTTATAGACTTTTTGCACTACTTTTTATTTTGTATTTCTGTATTTTATTATATAAGTTGCATTGTTGGAGGAGCTCAGGTCAGAAGAATTTCCTTTCCATTTCTACTCTGTAGCTCATGAGCACATGATGATAAAACCTTTGAATGTTGAATCGTCAGTTACTCAGTGTCACTGTATTGAATCACATGTTGACTCAGGCCCAGTTACCGGACAGAGTTTGCTGCAACACTTACATTAAATAAATAAATTGCATTGTCATAGATGTATTCTTTTGGAGGGGGGTCACAGGGGGGTCCAAGCTCAGTGTTAAAGCCCCTCCTCAGAACCGCCCATGCTCCCATCCCTGCCTGCTGTGGATGAGGATAATAAAGATGATTCTAGCATTAGGCTAGCTCACGTGCAGGATGAAGATCAAAGGGATTTGATCATGCGACACCGTCCGCAGCTCCGACACATCATTGCACCTTACATCCGTCTGAACGTAAATAAATACAAAGGGTATAAATATACAATTACCTGCTTGTTTTTCCCTTATCCCCCCAGGTCCTCCCCACTGCTTCCCTCCCGGTCCGGCCCAGCGGTCACATGGTCCCACTGGCTCGGTGTAATGGCTTTATTGTTGGGTTAATTGGTTCCACGCTCACTGCTGAAACTGTGCCGAGAAAACACGGACAGTGCCGAGTCAGCGATATGGAAATATACCATATCCGGTCAGTGTTTTTCAAAATAAAACGTGAAGCGTGTTACATTCTGAGGATTCATACATACAGACAGGTTTTCAGAGTAAAACATTTAGGGTTTGTGTTCATATTCCATGAAGTGTGTGTGTGTGTGTGTGTGTGTGTGTGTGTGTGTGTGTGTGTGTGTGTGTGTGTGTGTGTGTGCGCGCGCGCGCGCACTCTAACATCCCATTGAGTTGCAGTAATACCACTCCTCACTATACTCTTATTTTTGAAGGTCTGATTTCCGGTTGAGTTTGCATTACCTTCACAACTCTGACAGTGCAGTCTGATGATGAGGGTGAGTTTACTGGAGTATGCTAGTTATAGACTAGTCCTTAATATATATGTAATAATGCAGAGCTGTAAAGTAACTATGTACTGTAATTAAGCACATTTCTTAGCTACTTTACTTGAGTATTTGTATTTTAAGTATTTTCTTCTCCTCTACAGTTCAGAGGTAAATGGTGTACTTTTACTCCACTACATGTATTTAATACCTTTAGTTACTTCACAGATGTGGATGAATGATGTGAAATATAATCAAGTGTTAAATCAGACTTTAGTTCCACCTGGAGTCAATCCACAAGCTACCCTGCAGTATACAAAGTCATTCAAACTAGCTGCACCTTTACCAGCTTTGAGAACACTTTCATGATCAATCATTATAAAACATATCATATATATTATTCTGAAATGGACCAATCTGCACAATGACTACTTTTACTGTCGCTACTTTCACTATATTTTGATGAGAATACTTTTCTACTTTCACTTGAGGAACATTTTGAATGCAGGACTTTTACTGTAACAGAGTATTCCTACACTCTGGTACTTCTACTTTTACTCAAGTACAAGACCTGAGTACTTCTACTTTTACTCAAGTACAAGATCTGAGTACTTCTACTTTTACTCAAGTACAAGATCTGAGTACTTCTACTTTGACTCAAGTACAAGATCTGAGTACTTCTACTTTTACTCAAGTACAAGATCTGAGTACTTCTACTTTTACTCAAATACCAGATCTGAGTACTTCTACTTTTACTCAAGTACAAGATCTGAGTACTTCTACTTTTACTACGTACCTGATCTGAGTACTTCTACTTTTACTCAAGTACAATATCTGAGTACTTCTACTTTTACTACAAGATCTGAGTACTTCTACTTTTACTAAAGTACAAGATCTGAGTACTTCTACTTTTACTCAAGAACAAGATCTGAGTACTTCTACTTTTACTCAAGTACAAGATTTGAGTACTTCTACTTTTACTCAAGTACAAGATTTGAGTACTTCTCCTTTTACTCAAGTACAAGATCTGAGTACTTCTACTTTGACTCAAGTACAAGATCTGAGTACTTCTACTTTGACTCAAGTACAAGATCTGAGTACTTCTACTTTTACTGAAGTACCAGACCCTCTGTAATAATGAATGAACCAATGAATGATTAGAAACAAGAGGAAACGTGTCGGGCTCATCGCTGACTTTTATTTTTGGGTTTTCTTAAAAAAAGAACATTTACAACCAAAATCACAGCCAGATATAAATTACAACAGCAAAACACAAGTATCTATGTTAAACACACTCGCAATGTGTGGACAGATAAAATCGACTCGAGTCAAAATAGCTTCATTCCTTCTGAAGACTGCAGTCCAGTGCATTGAAAATATACAGTGAGGCGTTCAGGGACAGTGAGGCGTTCAGGGACAGTGAGGCGTTCAGGGACACCTTGGAAACGTCTTTAACTCACAACGGAAAAACAAAGCTGTCACATAAAAAAACAAACTAAACTATCTTTGCAAAAGTTTGGGTGATTTCTTAAACGCACCCTTTCCCCGGCTGCAGCAGGAAATGCCCTTTGTTACATCTCTGAAAATATTCTTTATTTATGTTAACCCTGTACCAAAACCCACTCACAACCCACTCACACTGGCCGTTTTAAAGGAGGTAATTAGTGGGGAATTCAGTTAGAATCAGCTCGTCATGTCGTTACCGATGAATCCATTCCAGGGGGATTCTCTTTGACGCACAGAAAGGATCAGTCTGGTTTAGACATGCCGACGCAGACAGGGCCTCGTCAATCTGGGGTTATATCTCTGAGCTTCTTGCTGATAAACGTTCTGACCTTATTCTTCCCTTTTTTTACAGAAACATCAACAAAGAGTGCCACCAGACGAACACAGAGACAGACGGAGGTGATGTTAATCTTGAGGAACTGTTTAAACAACAAATCAGTGACGCTATGCACTCTGAATATTCTGCCTCTTTGTGTTCGGAGCGTTTCGTCCGCTTTGCATTCTTTAAATTTAAATTTGACCTTTTTTAAAAAGTAAAATCAGAAGGTGCACAGCTTCCTCCAGAGCTCTTCCCTCCAGAGCTCTTCCCTCCAGATGGCCTTCGAGGAGCTGCAGGGTCTCACGTCATCAATCTGCAGAGGGTCACCACTTCTCCAGGGAGTTTATATCTCTTAGCTTCTGGCTGATAAACATCTATTTCTGACCTTTTGTTTCCCTTTTTTACAGACAAGTTGGATTACAACTGAAATTAATAATTCTGTGTCTCGTGTTCGGAGCGTTTCACTGGAGCTTTGCATTATTTTAAAATCCTTATTTGAGATCAAATCCTTGGTAACACTGTCGCCGGACATTATGCTCTCAGACCTGCAGAAGGCTTGACCCTTTTAGGCTTGTTTGTGTATTTTGAAAAGCAGAAAGTGCAAAGCTCTGAGCGACCCTGAGCGTCCTCCAGAGGTCCTGACTGAGGCTCAGTGTTCTACCGTCTGTTGTTCTTTATTTCAGCACGAGCTCTTCCTCCAGATCGCCTTCGAGGAGCTGCAGGGTCCTCAGACAGAGCGCAGGGAGCAGCAGGGGTCTTTTTGGGGGGGGGTTTCCTGGGTCTTCAGCACTCCAGGGGGGGGGGGGGGGGGGTTCGTGGGTCTTCAGCACTCCAGGGGGGGGGGTTCCTGGGTCTTCAGCACTCCAGGGGGAGGGGGGGTTCCTGGGTCTTCAGCACTCCAGAGGGGGGGGTTCCTGGGTCTTCAGCACTCCAGGGGGGGGTTCCTGGGTCTTCAGCACTCCAGGGGGGGGGGTTCTTGGGTCTTCAGCACTCCAGGGGGGGGGGGTTCCTGGGTCTTCAGCACTCCAGGGGGGGGGTTCTTGGGTCTTCAGCACTCCAGGGGGGGGGGGGTTCCTGGGTCTTCAGCACTCCAGGGGGGGGTTCCTGGGTCTTCAGCACTCCAGGGGGGGGGGGGTTCCTGGGTCTTCAGCACTCCAGGGGGGGGGGTTCTTGGGTCTTCAGCACCTCCGGGGGGGGGGGGTTCCTGGGTCTTCAGCACTCCAGTGGGGGGGGGGGGTTCCTGGGTCTTCAGCACTCCAGGGCGGGGGGGGGTCCTGGGTCTTCAGCACTCCAGGGCGGGGGGGGGTTCCTGGGTCTTCAGCACTCCAGGGGAGGGGGGGGGGGGTTCCTGGGTCTTCAGCACTCCAGGGGAGGGGGGGAGGGTACCTGGGTCTTCAGCACTCCAGGGGGGGGGGGGGGGGGGGTCCTGGGTCTTCAGCACTCCAGGGGGGGGTGGAAGCTGCGCCTGCAGTCGACTGCTTTGGGGCTGAGCGGCTGCGCTCGTTTCCTCCGCAGCTCGTCTCGACCCAGAGAGCCGGCGAGGCGAGAGTACGCCGCCTTGTACTTCTTATCGAACGCAGCTGCAGGGGCGGAGAGGAAGACACGTTACAAACCGTTTCATCTGCACCTATCATGTATATATAATATCCTGCTTATATTTTGTTACTGTAAATTTGTATTTCCACATGTATATATATATTTATTTTGTAATTTAAATCTTTATTGTCCCATTATACATGGCATTAACATGCTGGTAACAACAACATAATCATGTTACAAAAGGCCAGCAAGGCAGTGCTAGGGCTAAGTCTTCATGGTGTGATATTCTTGAAGACACATGTATCGATCAGCTATTGTCTCTTTGCTTTGAGTCCATTTCCCCACTTTCTGCTGAGTTGGGTTTTTTGCAATCTCAATTTACAAGTCAGTTTTTCCATCAAAAAGATTTCTTCCACAAATGTTACCCATTGGTTTTTGGTTACACACACATATATATATTTCTATTTGAGACGTTTACATTTTAGATTGTTTACTTCTAGTCTTTTAATTTCTCTAATGTGCCATGTCTTTTTATGCTGCTGCAACACAAACATGTTCCATATTGGGATCAATAAAGTACTTCTGATCTGATCTGAGTCGATCAACCCTGTGCTTCACTGACTAAAATGGCCTTTTTTATATTATTTTAGATTCCTCAATCCTTGAGTTTGACTGTCCGTGGTCACTGGACAGTCGACCCCGCTGCTATACTGAGGTACGGGTATCTTTGGTGTCTGTTGCGTCTTCACTGGGTTGGCTTCTGATGTGCTCTGAAATGCATTGTGCTCATGTGTTTCCTCTGAGTGCCGTCACCCTGCCAGGGACTGCAGATCAGCCTCTTTGGATAAACCTGACACATTTACAGGATGGACTCGAGTGCTCATGTTACTCCATGTGCATTGTCCCTTCTTAATAAAACAAATGCATGGACATACATTATAAAGAGGGTATGAGTTTCCCCCCTCGGACTTTGTTACCCGCAGCTCCTGTTATAGGTTTATAATAATACAGCGTGTGTCCCCATGAGAAGCACTATTTGAAATCAATACAGATTGATGTCCTCATGTTTGCTCTCTGGGACACATGCATGCTGTGTAACTTGTTCCCTGCACAATACATAGAAATGAAAATCAGTGTTTTAGAAAATCCTTAACTTATCACACTCTAAGGAGGAAAGGTATTGAGTGGCGAAGTCCCTCCCCTTCCGGTGGACCTCCATGGGACCTTATTTCGGAAAAATTATGTATTGAAGTCAACGGAGAGAGAAAGATTATCTTTCGATCCCGTTTGAATTGTGCCACGAATTACACATATGATGTTTGTCAATTTAAAAGATAATTTTGCAAGTCAAAAAAAAAAAAATGTGTTGTAAAACTGTGAAGTAACACATTTGTTTGTGTGAAACGCTCAATGAACTACATCTCTGGTCAACCACACACGTCACCAAGATGGCCGTCACTACTGTCTTGTCAACAAAACGATTGACTTCCCTCACTATCACCACAATGAAACACGTCCTGAAGAATGTCATGCAAAGCTGCCTGCCTGCCTTCCTTTGATTCTCTCTGAACTGCCTGGTCGTTTTAATGTTTAATGTCAACCATTTGTGCAGATAGCATGAAGTAGAGAAGATCGCCGATGCTAACGTTAGCGTTAGCAGTTCTCCCCCGGGCTTAAATGGTGTATTATAGAATGATCACACCGGTGACAGTACTCTTCAAAGGGTTCACGAAATATGACTACTACTCTTACTGTTTAACATTTTGGGTTACTTAATGTTACTTCATGTTAAGGCTAATAAAAATGACAAGGCTGTAATGCTAACTAACGTGCTAGCTACTAGCTAGCTTGATCCAGACACTCCTGGTCCTTTCATCAGACGGGAAGCAAAAGAACGAGCAAGACCCATTGCTGGTATGATAACAACCTGGTACTAAGCACACAGGCATCTTGTTAAAGTTATCTTATCTTAGCCAGCGCCATATAGATAGATTATATCTATATGGCGCTGATCTTAGCTATCTCTTACTGGAGGAAAACAATTATGACATCACTTACGCGACTCTGGGATTTGTAGTCTTTCTAGTTGCGTATTTTTCATAGTCTTATATTTCAACAGTTTTACGACAAACTGTGACTTTTTTTACATGGAAATGATTTGTTAAGATTGACAAACATCATATGTGTAATTCATGGCACAATTCAAACGGGAGAGAAAGATACGTTTTCTCTCTCCATTGACTTCAATACATTATTTTTCCGAAATAAGGTCCCATGGACCGGAAGTAGATGGGCGTGACTTCGCCACTCTATAGAAAATGTGCATTGTGTTTGGTGCAACATGAGTGTGTTGCATTCTGGGAATAAAACTTACCGACGTGGTCTTTGCCCATAGCTGCCATCGTGAGGAAGAGGAACTCTCTGTACAGACTCCTGACAAACACAAACACACACACACTGTGATTCACCAAGAACCCGTACCACTCAGTGAGAACAACCAGCCCCCCCCCCCCAGCCCCTCAGAGACGTCTGATCCTGAGGACTCTACACTTATATAACGCCCGATACACAACGTTTATATCTTCAGTAGATTGGTATATCAGAGAGTTTCTTATTTATTCTGTAGATTTAACAGCTGAGATACTCTTCTGAATATATGTCTTTTTTACTATCCATCACTCCACCCACCCATCCGTCCATCCGTCCATCTGTCCATCTACCTCCCTTCCTTCCTATCTCTACCTGTCTGTCTGTCTGTCTGTCTGTCTGTCTATCTGTCTATCTGTCTATCTACCTTCGTGTAATTAGACACGAAAGAAAGTGTGTGTGTGTGTGTGTGTGTGTGTGTGTGTGTGTGTGTGTGTGTGTGTGTGTGTGTGTGTGTGTGTCTATATCTATCTATCACAATGAACAGAATACAGAAGGCGCCCCCCACCTCTGGGTGCAGCCCCCCCCCGGCTGCTTGGCGATGGTCTCCAGGAAGAGTGTGATGGCTTTGTGCACCTCGTTCATCCCGACCCAGCGCAGCACCTCCTCCAGGAAGGAGAGGGTGAAGGGGTGGGAGTGCCTCCGCCAGCCGTGGCTCCTCATCTGGACCCCGCCTGCAGGGAGGAGAGGGTCCAACACTTTGAGAGGGGGGGTAGATGAGGTTCATAAGGAAACAATATATTTTCCCCATTGACTAACATGGGAAAAGAGACGTCTGCAAATCAGCTTAACTAAACAAACGACCCAGTATGAACACTTTTACAGCCCTTATTAAAAACAGTAGGTCCTTAGAGTTGGAAAATGCACTAAAAGGTGAATCCAGATTTATTTTCGCTCTCCGTTCATACTACTGAGCTGAGGGGGCGGGGCTTAATGACAGGAGGCGGGGCTTCATGGGAAACTCAACTGCGCTCTATGAGCTACATACGGGTACTTCTGCTCTGACAGCAAGGCATGATGGGTAATCTGTGACGTTTTGCTCTCTCAGGCCATGTTGTCCTCATGAGCCAATGAGCAGCTCTCACAGGAAACAACACGCTGTATCCAGTTCTTATTAAACATCCATGGTGTGAGCTGTGTGTCTTACTGTGGATCCTCCAGAGGATGTAGAGGGGGGGCCACAGGTCGGTGTCGGGGGTCAGCGTGTCCCACAGCAGCCTCACCCTCACCGCTGAGCTCTCAGACTGAAAACACCACAGAGAGGGGGACATCTCAGAGAATTGGATAAGCAGCGTGACATTACAAAACACGGAAACCTCCCAATATGAGTTTAACCACACAGACATCAAGATTATGTAAACATGTGACCTGTGTGAAGGTGTTACCTGTGTGAAGCTGTTACCTGTGTGAAGCTGTTACCTGTGTGAAGCTGTTACCTGTGTGAAGCTGTTACCTGTGTGAAGCTGTTACCTGTGTGAAGCTGTTACCTGTGTGAAGGTGTTACCTGTGTGAAGCTGTTACCTGTGTGAAGGTGTTACCTGTGTGATGTTGTTACCTGTGTGAAGCTGTTACCTGTGTGAAGCTGTTACCTGTGTGAAGGTGTTACCTGTATGAAGCTGTTACCTGTGTGAAGGTGTTACCTGTGTGATGTTGTTACCTGTGTGAAGCTGTTACCTGTGTGAAGGTGTTACCTGTGTGAAGGTGTTACCTGTGTGAAGGTGTTACCTGTGTGAAGCTGTTACCTGTGTGAAGGTGTTACCTGTGTGAAGGTGTTACCTGTGTGAAGGTGTTACCTGTGTGAAGCTGTTACCTGTGTGAAGCTGTTACCTGTGTGATGTTGTTACCTGTGTGAAGCTGTTACCTGTGTGAAGGTGTTACCTGTGTGATGTTGTGAAGCTGTGTGATGTTGTGAAGCTGTGTGAAGTTGTTACCTACACCACAAAAACTTGAAATCTTGCCCAGTATATGTGTCTAATATCTAGTCATATATGTCTATACACTTGCTATAAGACATCATAACTTCAGAAGTAACACTGCAGTGAGATATCGGGGTCTTGTTTTTAGACAATGCATCATCTTGTTAAGTCAAAAAATCTTATTTTGAGTTGTATCTCAGATGAAACTTATTTTCTTTTACATATTTATTGGAAACTCACCAATCAGAAAACAGAACACTTTAGAGCAGGTGAGGCTTATTTTGTAACACAGCACTTTCCTGATCCTGGTAAAATATAGTTTCCCCAGATAATTACAAGATCTGATTTATCTAAATATCCCTTCTTAATTCAAGAAATCTTACCAAGGACATTTTCACTTGTTCTATTTTTGTACTTATTTCAAGAGAAAACACCTTGTTTTCATAATTTGTTTTACTTGAAGGAGCTGTTACCTGAGTGATGGAGCTGTTACCTGAGTGACGGAGCTGTTACCTGAGTGACGGAGCTGTTACCCTGAGTGATGGAGCTGTTACCTGAGTGAAGGAGCTGTTACCTGAGTGACGGAGCTGTTACCTGAGTGAAGGAGCTGTTACCTGAGTGACGGAGCTGTTACCTGAGTGATGGAGCTGTTACCTGAGTGACGGAGCTGTTACCTGAGTGACGGAGCTGTTACCTGAGTGATGGAGCTGTTACCTGAGTGATGGAGCTGTTACCTGAGTGAAGGAGCTGTTACCTGAGTGACGGAGCTGTTACCTGAGTGAAGGAGCTGTTACCTGAGTGACGGAGCTGTTACCTGAGTGATGGAGCTGTTACCTGAGTGATGGAGCTGTTACCTGAGTGAAGGAGCTGTTACCTGAGTGACGGAGCTGTTACCTGAGTGACGGAGCTGTTACCTGAGTGAAGGAGCTGTTACCTGAGTGACGGAGCTGTTACCTGAGTGACGGAGCTGTTACCTGAGTGACGGAGCTGTTACCTGAGTGATGGAGCTGTTACCTGAGTGACGGAGCTGTTACCTGAGTGATGGAGCTGTTACCTGAGTGATGGAGCTGTTACCTGAGTGATGGAGCTGTTACCTGAGTGAAGGAGCTGTTACCTGAGTGATGGAGCTGTTACCTGAGTGACGGAGCTGTTACCTGAGTGACGGAGCTGTTACCTGAGTGACGGAGCTGTTACCTGAGTGATGGAGCTGTTACCTGAGTGAAGGAGCTGTTACCTGAGTGACAGAGCTGTTACCTGAGTGAAGGAGCTGACCAGTGGCGAGGCCCTCACCAGCTGCAGCAGGTTGCTGGGCAGCCCGAGGCGCTGGAAGTACCACAGAAGGTTCCAGAAGATGATGGAGTGGTTGTCCAGGAACTGCAGCTGCGCCAGCACCGCCTCGCCCTCGTTCTCCAGAAGACTCTCCAGCTCCTTCCTCAGGACCAGAGGGCTCAGGTACGCCACCGTCACCAGGGGGGGGGCACCTGTCCACGAGCCCTGGGGGGAGGTACTTATACTTTACTTGAGTATTTCCATTTGATGCTACTTTGTACTTCTACTCCTCTACAGTTCAGAGGTACATGGTGTACTTTTCCTCCACTACATGTATCTAACACCTTTAGTTACTTCACAGATCTGGATGAATGATGTGAAATATAATCAAGTGTTAAATCAGACTTTAGTTCCACCTGGAGTAAATCCACAAGCTACCCTGCAGTATACAAAGTCATTCAAACTAGCTGCACCTTTACCAGCTTTGAGAACACTTTCATGATCAATCATTATAAAACATATCAGATATATTATTCTGAAATGGACCAATCTGCAGAAACATGCTAAATGTAGGTGTTACCGTGGTGGTCCTGCTGTTCTCCGAGTAGCTGCTGGTCTCCGAGCTGGAGTCTTCGCTCACTCCGTTACACTGCGGCCGCAGCGACGCCTCCTGACCACTGGGGGGCCGCAGCAACGCCTCCTGACCACTGGGGGGCCGCGCCGCGCTCTCCACCTCCTCCTCCTCCACGTTCCAGTTGCCACGCTCCGCACTGCAGAAGAAGATGAGGCGAGGAAGGATTAAACTTCTGCGTGAAGGAGCAGTTAGCACTTTACCCCTGCTTACAGCTATATGCCGTGAGCTGATTATCGAGCCTTCATTGTAACAGTCGCGGGTGCACTGTGCGTGCGTGTGGGGAGTGTTGCAGTAGAACATTCCACTGTAGCGGTATATTAATGGGAAACCCTACATGTTTGAGCACCCTCTATGAAACGTCAAGCTACCCCACAGCACCCCCAAAAGAAAATCTCTGGCGCCGCCACTGTGGGCTAAGCCCCGAATGTTTCTAGGTCCAGGAAACGCCCCTCTAATCTCAGATGCACCCTGAGTCATTTTGTTCTGGAACCGGCCTGAGCCTAACGTTAGCTTTTTACTAAAGAAATCATTAAGTGGTGTTCATGTGTGGAGATGATCCTGCTGAACTAAACATGTAAGAATCATAAACGTTGGTTTGACACAGAGATTATTTCCGACATTATCCAAAATCACATGGAGAAATCCCATTGGACCAGGGAGATGCTGCCTTCAGGGACCAACATAGGAATACGACATCCCTGCACCCCTCTAAGTTGTAATTCCACCATTTGGCCTCTAGAAGAATTAGCTTTAACGCCCGGCGCTCTTTCTTGGTGCTCTGTGTGAAAACCTGGAGGTGTTTTTGGTTCTCTGGTGGAGGTCGTACCTGCCGACGGGCCCCAGGTCGCAGATCTCGGCGTTCAGGAAGGGGACGAAGGAGGCGCCGCAGAACGGACACGACGAGTTCAGGTTCGAGTCGTCCGACGTCCAGCCGGCCATGATCTCCTCGTCGTAAACCAACGAGTTACAGCTGCGACACAGAGAGCAGCTGGATATCAACACCTGCAGACACAGAGGGCGGGAGGGGTCAGCGCACTTCAAGTGAAAGTCCTGCATTCAAAACCTTACTGAAGCAGAAGTATAGATTTTTTTGAAAATATTTGAAAAATGGTCACGACTTTTGGCATTTTCACATGAAATGTTTTCATACATTATCCCGGTAACTTTTTAGATTTTATTCACAACTTTAAAAAAATATATATTTGGAGCATTTTACGACGTACGGCTCATATTTAAGGTTGTGCTCATTTGCAGCAGTGCGTCGTATTATATAAGATCATAATAGGACAGTTTCCTTCAGATATTGTTGTTATATTTCTTTAGAAGATACATACATCAATTGTTTACATTTTTCACATAAAATTGGAAAATGTTCACATATTTTTCACAATTATTTTTGAGGGGGTTTTCTGACGTCTTTCTGAAATGTTTCACATATTTGTCAGGGCATTATTCATATATATGTTCCCTATAATATTACAACATTTTCCACATATTTGTAGCACATTTTTCAGGATTTCTTTCAACTTAACTCATATATCTTTGATTTATATTTGACAGAAAAACCGCCCTGTTTGCAGCTTTGTGACGATGCATTTTCCATCTGATCCAAGAGACTTCTTACAGACTTGATTCATCTTATCAAACCTACATCTAGCTCACATTAAAACTGGAATAATATAACTGATCTGTTTACCTCGAGTCCGATCGCCTCCTGGTTGGCGTCCCAGGACCGACGCAGAGGGAACGCCGGGCTGGGCGTCTCCGTCAGGTCCACGTCGCTCCCTACTGACAAGGAACTCTGGGGAGGAGGACAGGAAGCTGATTAACATGTGGAGAGGGAGGGAGTGTGTGTGTGTGTGTGTGAGTGTGTGAGTGTGTGGAGGGTGGGAGTGTGTCTTGGGGAGGGCTGGTGGTGGTGAGTGGTGAGTGGGAGGTATGTGTGAGTGTATGGTGGTGGGGGTGGTGTGTGGTGTGTGTGTGTGTGTGTGTGGGGTGTGTGGGTGTGTGTGTGTGTGTGTGGGTGTGTGTGAGTGAGTGTGTGTGTGTGTGTGTGGTGTGTGAGTGAGTGAGTGAGTGAGTGAGTGAGTGAGTGAGTGAGTGTGTGAGTGTGTGTGTGTGTGTGTGTGTGAGTGAGTGAGTGAGGTGAGTGTGTGAGTGAGTGAGTGAGAGTGAGTGAGTGAGTGAGTGAGTGAGTGAGTGAGTGAGTGAAGTGAGTGAGTGAGTGAGTGAGTGAGTGAGTGAGTGAGTGAGTGAGTGAGTGAGAGTGTGTGTGTGTGTGTGTGTGTGTGTGTGTGTGTGTGTGTGTGTGTGTGTGGTGTGTGTACCTCTGATGTGGCGCTGACCAGCCTCTCTTTGGCTCTCAGCAGAGTTTCTGCTACTTGAGATTTCCTGGACGTCCTCTGCTCAGAGACCCTGCGCACGACTCCCCCTCCCCCTCCTCCTCCTCTTCCTCTCCTCTCGTCCACGCTGGCGGCGCGTCGTGCTCCTCGGTGTCTGGTGGGCGTGAGGAGCTGCTGTAGTTTCCCTGCCAGCCCCCCCCCTGCTGGGCGAGGAAACGTTGTTGTAGTTCTCGTCTTTGTTCCTGCCGGAGTCTCGCGTCGACACAGGTCTGCAGGTCAAAGGTCAACACAGGAAGGACGTTAGGATAACAGAGCTGCAGGGATGTCGTATTTCTGTGTTGGACCCTGAAGGCAGCATCTCCCTGGTCCAATGGGATTCCTCCATGTGATTTTGGATCATTGCAGAAAATAATTTCAACGTTTATGATATTTACACGTTTAGTCCAGCTGATGATGATCTCCACATATTAACACCACGTTAGGATTTATGAAATGAAATACATATTATTATTTTGTCAAACTCAAATACTGCTGCACTGAGACCCTAAACAAAGTCAATGTGTTTAATGTATTTAGTTCAAATATGTTATTTTCTTATGTATTTCTTATTTTTAATTTTATCTACAAATGAGTTTTTGTTAATTAACACAAAAATAAACTACTTAAATTGTAAAGATTGTAAGAAAGTGTAGTGACTGACCGGCCCCCCCTCTCCTGCTGGGGGTCCTCTGCCTCCGAACACTCCTTGTAGAAGGTGGAGAGGCAGACCTGGCTGCGCGGCACCAGAGCTACACCAGGGGGCGCCGGCGGGGGGGTGGAGGGGTCCTTGCGGCCCAGTGGGGGGGTGGAGGCGTCCCTGCGGCCCAGCGGGGGTTTTCTGGAGACGGCGTCCCCCCCGTTTGACCCCGTGTTACGAAGGAGGGTCTTCCTGCAGAGCTTCACTGCTAAGGAGGGAGGGGGGGGGGGGCGAATAGGCACGGCAAGTTTATTTTACATACAATTTTAGAGCTCACGCTGAGAATCTGATCAGGAGAATTCTCGGCAGAAACTCAGCTAAATGCTGATCATGTTCCAAACCACATCAAGGATTATTTCTGAAACAGTATGCAGCTCAAACTCTTTCTCTCTTGGGGATATTTATATATAAAAGACATCGGAAAGTGCATTTCGCCCGATAGGAGACCTTTAAATGCAAAGTGTATTAGTGATTGTTTGCAGGCTGTAAACAAATAGTTCCCCTCACTGTCGGCGGGGGTCTTCATGCTGCCCAGGCTGCTGCTCTTCACCAGCCCCCCCGTCAGAGACTCGTGACTCGAGCTTTCAGACAAACCGCTCCAACTCGACTGACGAATCAGAGTCGAGTGGGGGCGGGACATCACCTCAACTGCAAACAAAAAGAAAAATTCACCCTGACAGTACGAGTTGAAGGAGCCCTGTTCTACTTTCTGGGGGGTTTTCGTTGTTAGTGCATGTCAATGGTCTGCAGAGGCTAAGAAATTCTCTAGCAGCTTCAACATTAAAGCTATGACTAATGATAATACAGTAATACTCAATGGGTACTTTCACTATGTTGCTTTAAGTATATTTAGATGATAATTATTTATCAAGGTACACGTCTCCACCGCTGCTGATATGACAACTGGAAGTGTGTGTGTGTCTATGTGTGTGCAGGGGGTGATTGACCAAGTGTGTGTGTGTGTGTGTGTATAATTAAAATAAGTGCTATGTATTTAAAACATCATTACATCTAAAGGTA